TCATCGCTACAACACAAATGTTACGAGTTGCATGCCGATCTTCTTGTATTTCTGTTATGTTAGTCACGATTAGTCGTGTTGAAAAACTATCACAACCCAATATAATGTAATTGCCGGATGTCTCCCATCAGTTGTGATGTACATAAGTGCGGCGAATCTGAGATTAAATTTGGGCTTATCCTTTTAGGAAAGGACTAAATTAGTTTATTTAACTTTCCTCTCTTTGAATGTGGCGCACTCAAATTGTGGCAATATATAGAGCGCAATGTGTGCTACAATGCTACAACTGCGCACAACTATTTAGATTTCGGACACGAATTAGAGAATACCAGGCGTTTATCAAAACTGGCGAATTTTGAAATGTTTGAGGTTATGAACCAAAATGAAGCCGTTAGAGGGCTAGACCATGCGCAATAATTCGAAATCGTGTACGAAATATTGCTAGAGGAGGTTGACTCATTCGGCTCATTAAGAAAAAATAAAATCAATGGCATGTCGAGTTTTGGTGCAATCACAAAGTCGAACATTGTACGCAAGGCTGCTGCGGACAACTCAATGAAAGTAATAGCCTCAAAATTCGCCAAGACTTCACATAGTAAGCTTATTTGACTTGCCAAACACGAATATAAGATTCATTTGTGAACTTAGGTTTCTTTCCTTGTTTAGGGTGAGACCACATATCGAAGCCTTACAGTAATCTTACAAAAAAGCCTTATCACGCAACCTTAGTATGGCGTGACCAGCATGTCGTAACCTCACTTTGCCAAATTTCAGTCAATTCAGACAAATTTTATAATTTCTTCCCTTATGCCATATATCTACCGTAAACCATTGTCAGAATTTCGCAGAACAGAAGCTGCCCTTGTAGCTTAAGTTATAATGTACACAATGGCAAAATTTGAGTGCGCCATATAGAAAGAGAGGAAAGTCGTTGAAGTTGCAAAACTTAGTTTCCAACCATATGTGCGATAGGTGGAGCAATTTCTGTGCCCCCTTCACTTTTGGGCCAGCATCAGGATTACCCCTTTCACTAAGGTTAAGTATACCCTATGTTGAATAGTGCACATTTTGTTTTCCAGCTGCTGCTTCCTCTCAGTCAATGCTTGACATGACTTTTACGGTGTTTGTTGAGAAAAACGCAAGTTTGAGCACCCCTATCTCACTCAGAGTGGTTCTGTTCAATAGCGAAAACCTCAGAACTTAGGGGTGTCCGATTTTTGAATAAGCAACATTGTTCGATGATGTATTGTAGCAGGGAAGAATTATAGAAGAGGAGGAAGTCTGACCTGCCTAATGAGGTTGCTTGTTCACTGAGAAGAATCATTATATCTCCTTTCATTGGAGATTGTGATAGGAAATAAGGGAGCACTTAGATTCCTTAATTTTGAAGCTCTCCATTCACATGCAAATCCCTGAAAAGCACCTTTCCGTTTCAAAAATAAAGTATAATATAGTTCATAAATTTAGCTGATATTGTAGCTAGATAAAATTGCTCATATCTCGCTTCGAGAACAGCTAGCAAAAAAGAAACGGTTTACATCGATTCTCGTACCCTTAGCTATCAGATCGTATATAAACTGTTGGTGCATAAAGCTTTCCCGCTCCAAAACAGTCTTGCTCCGGTGACACAAAAAGCCAAGCCATTCAGAAGGCAGGGTGGAGCAGCCTAATAGCAAATGTCTCCACCCCATTTTTAAAGAGCCACCGGTTTTTTCGTCTTCATCATACTGCATACTTAGAAAGCTCACGAAGCGGAGATCCGACGTGAAACCTCCAATTTTTCCTACACCTCCCCCCCCCTCTACTCGGAGATCCATGGCATTCAAGCTAAAGGCATGGGTGTTTCTGTGAGGAAATTTCCAATGATTGAAGACGCCTGATAGTCTAACTGTGTTATAGAGCAAGACTTTGTCAGTGAACGTAGACCGTCTCTTTCTTCCTTTTAAATGGAGCGCAAACTGATCGCATAGAATCAATAAATTCTGCATCTAGATAAGAATTTCTATGTGTGCTTTGACAGGAGAGCTGGAAAAAAGAGATAATCTACGTCGATTCTACACCTTTTTAACTTTCGAATGGTATGTCGATTGATGAAAGGTAAAGCTTTTCTGAATCAAAAAAGTCTCTGTTCGATGACCTTTCAAAACCAACGCATTGAAATCTCTTCATGTTACACGTCTGTACCACTTATTCTCCTTCTTTACACACCTCAGTCCCACTCGGCATGTAAACTTAACCTCGAATCATTTGTAACTTAATATGTGAGATTGCACACTCCCTATTAGCGACGGCATCACTATTACTAACTTTCCAGTGCAACATTTTCTAACATAACCACGTGTGGAAATGTATTCTATCAACCAAAATATAACTAACAAAAACAAAAGAGACAAGGAAGCAGGGAGAAATCACTGGAAATGACCAGGTTCCAGTTTTGCAGTTCGTCATTCAACGTGTACAGTGTGCAATACGCATATTAAGTTAGGAATGACTCGACGATACGTCAGCATTCAGTACTCTGCGTTGATACCACTGCTCTTTTCTAGGTGGAAAATAGCCAAAACCCCCTTCACCCGAGGAGGCCCTGCTCCCCCTTTCGCACCTATGTTTCCAATCTAACACTAGGAAGTTCACTTTTCTGATGTGATGATGCAAGTTTTCCACGTGAGTCAAATTCTTGTCTGATCTTACACTTTCTAATGTGTTTCGGAGCACGAGCTCGCGCTCAGCAGAAAAGTATGCATTTTGCTCCCTGGTCAACAATGTGACCTCATCTCGTAAAGTGAGTACTATACCTGTAATCAACCTGTCAGATAGGCTCCATACCCAAAGTTGCGAATATATTCAAATTTTTGAGTTTTGTCACTCGGGGAGAAGTGCTGTTTTTTCTTGGGAGAAAAAAGCAAGATCTCAACATCGAATGGTTATCAAATACCTGTTTTGCACAAGGTACACATCCGTACTACACACGGTTTTGTTTTGCAAAATGGAGCAAAATAATTGCGACGTCGCACGCTCCGTTCGCATCGCTGCACATCTGATTTGTCGTTGTATCTCCTAAACCGATAGCGGCGCCACAGTTCCAAGAAGTTATCTTAGAGGGAGCGTCCACCCAGAATTTTGTTTTCCATGTTTTTGTCATTCTGGGAACTTTCCGTGGCCCTGTCCAAGTTATGAAGTTTGAAATGTGCAAAACCGCGAAAAACCCGATTTCAGAGAGCCCCATAGGTGCGATGGGGTGAGCAGGGTCTTTCCAAAGTGAAGGGTGTCCCAGCTGATTTTGACCCCCAAAAGTGAAGGGTGTCGACCGGGGGGGGGGGGGGGGGGAGAATTGTAAAAATTTAAGACGTCGACCGGGGGGGGGGGAATTTTCTTCCAAAAAATTTTTTTAATAATTTCTGTAATTAATAGAATTTTGTATACATAATTTCTGCTGAGATTGCATAATTTGATTTTTGTATTTTTTTATTTGTATATATTATATTATAGTAAAGATATATTGTATTTTTAGTTTATTTTTCATATAATTTTGTAATTTAAACTTTAATTTAAACTTATGTGATATAAAAAATACAATTTCAGGGAAATTATGGAACGCAGAATTTAATGAACATAGTTGCGACAGAACAATACATGGACAATGGTCAATAGCAAATATTCAACAGCTTATGGCGCTGATGGACAGCTTATTTGGCATTTACACCTGTAGATAATGTGCTATGATTGTGATTTATTGTCGCAAATAAATTTATTGCGGTATATGGAGTGCAATAAACGAATTAAATGTTTAATTATGCCGTTTGAAGCATTATAATTGTTGTAGTAATGAGATTAGTGTAGTTTGAGTCAAAGCAGTCTTTAACTGAGCTTTTCCATACAAGATGCAGAAAAAAATGGATCCTGAAGTGAATTTTTTGTCAATTAGGTTGCAAAAAAAATTAGGAAATTCAAGGTGTAATCATTGTTGCACATGAGTATGAACCTGGAAGATAACCGTCTAGGAGGATTGCACTCATGAAGAGCTTCCGATTGATATGTAGTATGCTGGCCTGGAACGACGTCGCCATGGAATCATCACTTTGCTAAAATTTAAAAAATGAAGATTTTCAAAATTATGTAACTCTTGTAAACAACACTGTATGTCGATGGGAAGGGTGTATATGGATTGCACTCATCAAGAGCTTCCGATTGATATGTAGTATGCTGGCCTGGAACGACGTCGCTATGGAATCATCAGTCTGCTGAAATGTAAAAAGTTGGATGAATTAAGGTTTTCAAAATTAAATAACTCTTGAAAATGATAACGAGTCTCGATGGGAAGGGTGTCTGTGGAATGTACTCATTATAAGCTTTCGATTGGTATACAAGAAGTTGGCATGAATGGAGTTCTTTATAGAAAAATCGTGCCTCAAAAAGACAAAATATCACGGTGCAAAAAATCGATTTTTTAAAAATAACTTTTGTATAAGTGAATGAATTAGGAAGGGAAGGGTGTAGGCGAACTGTACTCCTCAAGAGCTTTCGATTGATATATAATACATGGGGGGTTCATGCTGCTGGACTTCGGGAACAGGGGGTGAGCAAATTTGGCCGAAATGCTCAGCTCTCCTCACCTTATATCATTATCTCGCCGCTTGTAGGTGAGCATTTCGCCCGAATTTGCTCACCCCCTGTTCCCGAGGTTCAGCAGCATGGACCCCCCATGTATTATATATCAATCGAAAGCTCTTGAGGAGTACAGTTCGCCTACACCCTTCCCTTCCTAATTCATTCACTTATACAAAAGTTATTTTTAAAAAATCGATTTTTTGCACCGTGATATTTTGTCTTTTTGAGGCACGATTTTTCTATAAAGAACTCCATTCATGCCAACTTCTTGTATACCAATCGAAAGCTTATAATGAGTACATTCCACAGACACCCTTCCCATCGAGACTCGTTATCATTTTCAAGAGTTATTTAATTTTGAAAACCTTAATTCATCCAACTTTTTACATTTCAGCAGACTGATGATTCCATAGCGACGTCGTTCCAGGCCAGCATACTACATATCAATCGGAAGCTCTTGATGAGTGCAATCCATATACACCCTTCCCATCGACATACAGTGTTGTTTACAAGAGTTACATAATTTTGAAAATCTTCATTTTTTAAATTTTAGCAAAGTGATGATTCCATGGCGACGTCGTTCCAGGCCAGCATACTACATATCAATCGGAAGCTCTTCATGAGTGCAATCCTCCTAGACGGTTATCTTCCAGGTTCATACTCATGTGCAACAATGATTACACTTTGAATTTCCTAATTTTTTTTGCAACCTAATTGACAAAAAATTCACTTCAGGATCCATTTTTTTCTGCATCTTGTATGGAAAAGCTCAGTTAAAGACTGCTTTGACTCAAACTACACTAATCTCATTACTACAACAATTATAATGCTTCAAACGGCACAATTAAACATTTAATTCGTTTATTGCACTCCATATACCGCAATAAATTTATTTGCGACAATAAATCACAATCATAGCACATTATCTACAGGTGTAAATGCCAAATAAGCTGTCCATCAGCGCCATAAGCTGTTGAATATTTGCTATTGACCATTGTCCATGTATTGTTCTGTCGCAACTATGTTCATTAAATTCTGCGTTCCATAATTTCCCTGAAATTGTATTTTTTATATCACATAAGTTTTTATTTTCGCATGCACTACTTCCTCACCTGAAATTTTTTTTTCCTCAGTCCCAGGTGAAGGGGGGGGGGGGGGGGTAGCCCGGCCTCGAAAGTGAAGGGGGGGTGAGCATTTGCTCACCCCATCGCACCTATGGAGAGCCCTATCCTGAAAGCACAAACGGCTTTCACCACCTGGGTGGGAGTTTGATAGGTGTTTTGGTCGTGGTTTGATAGCACTCTCGCGGTTCCAGGTTCATTCAGAGACAACAATGGAGGACCGGACCAACGCAGATGCCCTTCTCTTAAGGCCTACATTTAGGATATGTAGGTACTAAAAAGAGGGAATTGAGTTTTGTCTGGACGCTGGCTTTAAGTACGAGCCTACTTGAACCAGATATCTTTGGAGTATGACAAAACTCATCAGGAATTCAAAAAACCTGAAACCTATACTGCACCATGTGTAGCACCAGTCTGAAACGTGTCAAGGAAGCGTACGTAGCCAGAGTTGTATTCAAGTAGCAATGCTTCTACTTCTTTTTTCGGAAAAGTTTCCTGTCATTTTCATCCTTTGTGAGATGGAGTGTCTTTGCGCCACAAGTGATCCAATGCCGTGAAAGCAGAACCCAGACTTGCACCAACCACTTATGTATTAGGTTGCCTCAAAAGTAACTCCCTTTTTAAATAAATTAAGCTGTTTTTATTTTCTCAAAAGATTTAGGGTACCATTCGATAGGGCGGATCAAGCCCCACAAAGGTACTACCAAAGATCCACCTAAGTCGTAATCCAGGCAAAATTTGGGGCCAAAAATCAAAATTTTTCAGGCACAAAAATTGGATCTCCTTCAAGAAAATTCCTGCGGACTTCCAACTTGGTCTTCACATAATAGACATACAGTAGTTCGCAAAAATGTACATGGTGGAATCGAGAAATAAAGGTGGTTCGAAAATGCCGAAATGCCGCCTTTTTCGGGTTTTTCATGTAAAATTTGGTATTTAACGATCATAAGAGAACATACAGGGGTAAAATTTCGAGATTATTATAAGAAAGGCTTGTAGTGTACAATGACATATGTGGGAGGGGCTGGGGGCGGAGTTTGCCATTTGTGGGCTATGCTATCTTTAATATCTCGTCTTCTATGCGCGGAAAAAATCCAATAAAGGCACATTTGAGTACTACTATGCGCGTGCTGCATGACCAGGTTGGAAGTCTATAGGGTTTTTGCTCGAAAAATCCACTTTTAGGTGACAAAATTTTCTCAATTTTGGCTTCAAACTTTACATGCAATGCGACTTAGGCGGACCCCTGGAGGTTCGGCTCTATTGAATGATACTCTAGGTCTACGAAAGCAAAAACTGCTTGAATTATTAAAAAAAAGGAGTTTACTATTGGGACAACCTAATACAATAGAGGATATAAAGTAAGTTTGAGATTCACCCTTGTTGAGTAGGAAAGTTATTAAGAGATGAATGGAGGCAGCACAGTATGTTCCTGCTCAAAAAATATTTTTTTTCATAAAAACAAATAAATCGCTGAGCTCATAAGCATAACATAAATCCCAAGCATATTAACGTTGGTACGAAAAGGTAGCTGCTACTGGTGGTGTCAGACAGTCCCATTGGTGAAACTGTTGACGATGATGTGTCACTTTGCCGTCGTAATCGGAAGGAAGCCCGTAGCGGAATTGGAGGACCCAAGTCTTCTGTCATTTCTGTATCCACTGCTTCTTCCCGTGTATCATGACCTCGTCGTGGTCGACTGCGGCAAGAGACTTGCTCACAATCGGCGCACACGTGCAGGTTGCAGAAGATATTGACTTCATTGCTGAAAACGATGTGTAAAAAACACTTGATCTTGGCATGTCCTTTCGTGACGTCGTGTAGTTTAGAAGATGTGAGTCATGTACTGATTTGAACTAGATAGATGTCCTTGAGTCAATATGTAGAAGCTGACTCACTATTCGCTGACTTGATGCGTCTGTTTTTACTAGGGCATGCTAGCCGAAAATGAAGGGGAGCTATCAGTTTTTATTTGATTTCTAGCTATCTTAGGTTGGATTGGTTGCGTGTCTGTTTTAGATTGGAGAAATCAAGGAGTTTTCACTCACCTCGTTGGAAAAGCCCATGCTTTGATATGGTTTTGAAAGGTAGTGCCTCTTGAGTTACGCGATACTTCGAAATCCCCCCAAACCTGAATGTATTGGTTTGGTTATTGAGTATAATTGGCAAAGAAAATGATGTCGTTTTTATTGCTTTTCATGGCACCGCCACGAACCACAGTATTATCTAATATACTAGGGCACCATTCGATTAAGGTGCTTTACGAAATGGCGTTCAAGTTTAAAAAAGTCTCAGTTGTCTGGAAAACCAAAAAGAAACGGATCTCCGTCCAAAAATGTTTTACGACATTCCGCTCACACGTATACTCTCCATATCAAACATTCAGATACACGGAAGCTATTTCTGAAACTGAGGAAACAAATTTTTTCAAGCTTTCCGGAAAATATGTACTGCGTTGCTTCGCATATTAGCGAAACAAATTTTTTCAAGCTCTCCTGAAAATATGTGCTGCGTTGCTTCGCATATTAGCCCTCTCTCTACAAGCTTATTTGAGGAGATATCAAATTTAGCATAAAAACTATGTATAAGAGGGAGCTAATTTGATTTCCAAAAACAGCGCTTGTAGAGAGCAAAAAAATTTACGCGTACTTACGAAGTCTTACATTAAAATTGCCTATGTGGAAGCAGAGAAGCATTGCTCTTCAAGAAACATAAGAATTTTCCTCAATTTTTAGGCGAACAAAATCAGCGACTACATTTATGAATTATGGGGAGTATACGTCTGAGCGAGTAGAAATGCATAAGCTTTTTTTTCTGAGGAGGTCTAATGGTCTTCCATTTTTTGCGCACTCAAAACTTTTTAGATCTTAGCATCAAACTTTCATGTGAATGATGTCTCAAACGCCACTTCGTGGAGCTTGCTTTGCACCATCAGAATGCACATCGTATATTTTTGAACATCGCCTGTTGCGATGTTATGAAAACCAAATAGAATGCTAGCTTCTCTTCTTTCCAGCCTAATAATAATACCGCAAGGTTTTTTTTTGACTACCGCCGCTTTTGTGGAGTTCCACTAACATATTTATTGGGGTGGTCGGGAGATAATGGAACACTTCGATTTTTTTTGCAATTTCGATGATTTACTGGATAGACAATAAACAACCAGCATTAAAGATACATTTGTGTGAAGTGATCTTCGCATGTTATCTTGGCAGCAACTTGCAGCTCTTACCCTACAATCCTTCGTGCGTCGCTTCAAAAAAGTCAGACAGACTTTTTTTTAACGCCATCTGAATTTGTACTGCAGTACCTTGAAGGTGGGCATATGACATACCATTCGGAAGTGCTTTCCAAGCTCTTTCTAATAGTCGCTTGGATCTACAAAAATTCTTCATCATTTTATATAAAATAGGCAGATTATCCATAAATGTGCAATATTTGGCACAGATTTTCAGCCTGGAAAACGTGTTTGGCCCACAACTTTTTGAAAGTGAGGATTTTTCGAGGTAAATTGCGCACATATGGATAGAGCGTAAGCAGCTCCATCAGATCCCATTCGTCAAAGGTGGGCCCATTCGATCACCTCGATGAGAGACTAAAAAATATGTCACCATACTTAATGCTATATCTTCTGTTGCAACCGTTGGGACCATCAGGCTATCGTTTATTTGGTGACAGTCCTCTAACCCACTGCAGCACATACAGGGTGTCCCAAAAGTAAGTACACACTTTTTTGTTAATATCTCTTTTCCCACTGTGTCCTTTTTCGCCATTCAAGTACCATTCCGTAGAGGAGGGTTCAACTTAGATTTGCTGTATCGAGCGAATCACCGATCGCTCTTCATTACTGTAGGTTCACTATAGGAACTTGGACAAGAATTTTAGGCCTTTAAGCCATATTCTGCCTCGGAACAAAACCAAACAAGCCAAAAACTCTTATGCTATGGTAATGGAAGCCGCTAATCTCAAATATGAAATTTCCACTTTACTGTGATGCTTCTTTCCAAAGTTATCCCAGGTAAGCAGTAATAACCGAATTCCCAGTACTTATCAGAACTGTGATTACACCGTCAAGAAAGCTGAAAACAGTCATGAAAAGTTGTGTAGTGGAATCGGCGTGCGCAAAAATCTTTTTTTCAGATTTTTTGAAAAAAAATGCTGTCAAATGGCATATTTTACGATGGATCCACACGCTAGAAGTTCTTACCGTAATCCTACAGTAACGAAGAGCGATTGGTGATTCGATCGATACTGTAAATCTGAGTTGAAGCCTACTCCACAGAATGGTACTTGGCTGGCAAAAATAGACCCATTGGGAAGAGAGATATTGACAATTGGAAAGTGGTACTTATTTTTGGGACACCCTGTACATTTTTTGCAGCCCCACTTGTTTTATTGCGGCGTTACTGCTTCAAGTTCGAAGTTACTTGAAGTGACGAGCTTAGATTGTGAGCACTTATAAACATGAAAAGCTCTAAACAACTTTTCACTTATAAACAACAATGCTTATCTATAAACCTCGAACAGAAGACGTTGATATGCACTAAGATCTCCCAAACTTGGACATCATTGATTTTTCTGTTTGAGAAGACTACATCGATTCTTTAGGGTCCCATTACTCTCTGATCACCCTAATAAAATGTTGTTATTCAGTATAGAGAGGATTATTTGTACCAAGATGTTTTGCCTATCTGTGATTGGGCCACATATGCAGAGATGCAAGAATGTAGGAACAAAAATGCGTATTTGCATTTGCTTAGAAAGGTTTGCTGAGAAATTTTACTGCCTTCAAACGCGCCCCTTTTGGTTTATGGGCTTGTCATCGAATATATGATAAAAATGAAACGCGATACCTCTCCAGAACGTTGTATTGAGCATCCGTCATTATCGCTGAGCTCGAGTTCGCTTTTGCCGTCGCTTGCCCAGCATCGTCCAATTCTTCCCCGAGTCGAAGGAGCAAGATGCACAGTATACGTCTAAATAGTAAAAAAAATGCATAATTAAGAAGAAGTACACGGCAATGGAATTTTTAGAGTGGTATGCCAAATTCGCATTTATATGGTCATTTTTTGCTGCGCTTGCTTACTTACAGGCTGAGATGCAGATTAAGTGACAGTTGCCTTTCTGATGATTCCTCACTATACTTGCTATAAAAAACCGTTGGCTGGCTATACCCAAAGTTTTACTCATATAATCGCAGAATCATCAAATAAGCTTAATGGTGCATATGTGCGTTCAAGGTCAAATGTGCATAAGTGCTAATTTCCAGGGTCGGTAGTAATCTGGTCCAAACTCCGAGTTTGAAGCTCCGCGCTAACTCAGAGATAACTTTGAGTTCCGTTTTTGAAACTCTGAGTTACGCTTATTGAAACTCTGAGTTCCGCTTTCGTAATTCCGAATTCCAACTCTCAAGCTCGGAGTTTTGCTTTGAGGAGCTGTTAAGCACTTTGCTGCAAAAGCGACGTTAAAGTAGGGACTCGAACCTGTATGGTCTAGCGTAAAGATCCTATCACTAAACCGCTAGACCATGACACACCCATGAACCCTAAAATTGCTTTGCCATAATGTACTCACTCATTCCATTAACACTTAGCAGGTCAAAACAAGTTATACCAAAGCCTCACTCATTTTCATTTCTATCGGGCAGTGATGGTTCATCACGAGGATTGGTCTTTTGTGCAGCCGAAAGCTTCAAACAGTAGAGAAAGCGGATGGCATACGCAATGATAAGAATTGACTATTAGGATTTGCGCACAGAATAGATCCTCCGGGCAAAGTTTGCCCTTCCATGATTTCGTCTTACTTACCGTATACCTACCGTAACCTTCCATATGTCACCAGTGTACGTAGCAGATAGCTTATCCGTAATCTGCACCCCGAATAACCCCAGTGTACCAAGTTTCGATCAGTTTAGTGATTTTCTCCCATCTACCGTAAACCTACCGTAACCCCGTCAGATGACACCACAGTATAATCTGCATGTCATATGCGTTATCGGCGCCCCGAATAACCCCAGTGTACCAAGTTTCGATCAGTTTCGTGATTTTCTCCCATCTACCGTAAACCTACCGTAACACCTCTACATGACCCCATAGTGAAAAATGGGTACCATGTACGTGATTAGCGCACCGAATAACCCCCTGGGCCAAGTTTTTACAAAATTTCAAAATTTTGTAAATCACTGCGCACCACGATACCCCCATCATGCCTGCTTAAACTACGAGCAAAATGTACCCCGGAGGACTTTTTAGCTGCCCCTCTTCTTTTGCGCACTATTTCTCTTTCTCTGACCAAACTCAGAGTTATCTCTGAGTTCCACGATAGGCTGGAACTCGCACCAAACTCAGAGTTATCGCAGACACTAGTTGCGCGTTTGCTGGCGCTGTTTCTTGCGCAGGAAGATTTGGACAATGTTGCGCTACTAAGAATAAACTACGTGTTAAGGAGAATCCTGCCATGTCATCGCTTTCCGGATTTGATCTGTTCAAACACCTGTTAAGGGGGTCAAAAAGTTGCGCGTTAGCTCAGAGATAACTCAGAGTTAACTCTGAGTTTTAGCTCTGAGTTTCGATAGGTTTACTACCGACCCAGAAATAAATATATAGATGACTTTTAGCTAGTCGGACTCGACAGGTTTGGAAGCAAGTCAGCCAATTTATTCATCATTTGTCCATGATAGTCACTGACGAGAACCAGTCACAACCAAAGCGGGTGGAAAAGTAAAGCTAAAGACTAGATGAACTTGACTATGTTCAATGATCTTTTTGAAGAGCTTGTCTTGCACGAAATGACCTGAAGTATTTCTGAAGGCTCTTTCGCATTTTATCTCCTTTTCTTGGGACTAAAGTATGATTTGAAAGTCGTACAACTCTGACAAGGAGTAGCACTTTGATTTAAGATAGTCTCAAAAAGTCCGCTAAGACCCTTTTTTAAGGTTTGTTCTAGGTTGTCCCGAAAGTTCTGCCGTTTCATTTTTGAAATATCATAACTTTGCGCTGTCTCAACGAATTTAGTTCATTGTATTTTTATCAAAAAGGGCAAGTCTTTCCCCTTCGAATGCTATTTTGCTGACCTTCTGCTACGCACTGGCTGCAGAGATAAAAATAGAAAAATAAGACCATATAAATTTTGCTCATTTTAACTTAGGTCGCCAAATATCTGGAAAACTGCGGAGAAATCTGAAATCGTCAATACATGGATTTTTTGACCTACTCTTTGCAACTGTAAGAGTTTGTCCTGTTTCGGCGTTTTTTAAAAAGTTATGATTTCCGGAAGAAATGTCGAATTAATTAATTTTGGCGTTTTCTGTAGTAAACTGGTGTTTCCTAACTTCTCACAGAGACACCAAAACAAGCCAATTAAGTTAAAAAGAGCAAGTCAAAAAACTTGTATTGACGATTTCAGATTTTTCTACTGCTTTTCCGATTTTTGGCGACCTAAGTTGAAATGAGCGAAGTTTATATGGTCTTATTTTTCTATTTTTATCTCTGCAGCCAGTGCGTAGCAGAAGCTCGCAAAACAGCATTCGAAAGAGAGAGACCTACTCTTTCTAATAAAAATATAGAGAAGTACATCCGTTGAAAGAGCCCAAAGTTATGGTTTTTCAAAAATGAAACGACAGAACTTTCGGGACAACCTAATATAATGCTGTATCTTTGCTGCAGGCCCACAATAAGTATATCTTACGATAATTTTGCAGTATCATACTTCAAGTTTTGCTGCAACGAGCATTTAATCAATAACTGACTATTACAAACAAAAAAGGCCCAATATTTTCTCCGTACGGACACTATTGGCGTGAGTGATGACATTCAACACAAAAAAACTTGAGCTAGTAAGAGAAACACAAATAGACTAGTCGTCTAAATGGGAATCCATGTTACAATACAATCTTAAAGTGACTGTCTTCCTCATTCGCGAAGCGTACTTCAAAGAAGGTGTTCTCTCACGATATATCGCTCGTTGCTGCGAAAGTCACGCGTCTACGAGAGACTGAGCTTTTACCAGAAGAAAAATCGAAGTCTCAAGAATTTACCAAATGTCATTTTGTGAGGGGTTCAGTGGTAGCATTAACTTTTTGGATATGTGAACCAGTGAACGAAAAGCTCCTCATTTTTTTTTAGCAAAGTTACAATACCCTCATGGTTCGTCAAGAAAATCGCCGACCGAAGAGCGAAATCCGCTTTGCATTGCCATATCTTGGTCCAGAGTGAACAAATTCTGAATCCGAAGGTACCGTTCGACTCATTTCGGCGAAATGCCTCTTTATAATCATGGTGCCCGTTTGCATACGGTAGATGCACTGTAGGCATCGTTTCGCGAAACTTTCAAAAAATTTTCGTAGGTTATAAAGCCTTAGTCACTGCACACGACTAACCTACCAGAGCCAACGATCTATATATTTTAAGCATTTACCGTACCAAGACTTCTATATATCAGAAGATGCGCCTCGTCGAACTGAGGCGAGCGGTGTTTTTGGATTCAATTCGTCCTTCTTAAACAGATATGGCAAGACGACGCGGACTTCGGAAGACTCCGGTGAAATTCGGTGATTTTTTGACGAACTATGAGCGGTATTGCATACATACAGTGCTGGCCAAAACTATTGTCCACCCTGTAAAAGGCTGTAATCCACTCGGTTGTCAACGAATCAATCCAAAATTTGGCACAGCTATGCGCATATCAGTCTACTATCAGCATTCCAGAGCGAGTCTCGTTCTCGTTCGATTACGCACGAAAAGATCAAAAAATATCGAAAAAAGCAGGGTTGAAGGCTGGCCGAAACTATAGATCACCTAAGGTTTTTATTCAGCAAACTTTCAAAATCATTCAAGTAGATACATAGTCAAGACTGTAGAAAAATTGCTTCAATTGGTTGTGTCACACCTTCGGAAGGAACGCTTATCTGCTTTTTCCAACTTGAAAATACTCTCAGGCTTACCTTGATCCTTAAAAATGTTTTTGGGCGGAAAATCTTGCAGTTTCTCGCTGATTTGAAAGCGTTCTCGTTTAGCTTCCTTATGCTTGGCGAAATGAGCGTTGAGGAAAAAACTTGACTTTCGCTCTAGAAGCAAATCCAACTTCAAGCTTACTGCAGGTCTGAGCTCCGACTTTATAAGCTGCATTCATCTTTTCTAAGCCGGTTCACTTGTATCGCGTCTTTCTATACGAATATTCTTGAGACAGTCAGTAACTGCAACAGATCAACGAAAATTTTCATTCTGTTTTTATCGCCGGTAGCATTCCCATTGATTCCTAGAATAATTTCTTTGGGGTGGAGGGGAGATGCCCTTACTTATCTGTGAGGCAGTAGCTTGCAGAGAGTGAAATTGAAGAAGCATCAGTGAGGTGCTTCGCTTAGTTCTTGAGATGAAGCGGTAGGGCAAGGTAGGCTTGTGGTACATCCTCCAAAACGTGGCAGAGGCTTTATGTTCATGGTTGAAAAATCACAGATCCAGGTTTTTCTTCTCAAAGCAACTCTTTCCGTAACTTTCCATTGCCGCCCAAATCAAATACCTGCTTCGATGAGCTTCACTAATGCATAAATTCATTTCTACGTATGCATGACATCCCCCAATGTATGTTTTCCTCATGTTCTCTGAGCGCTGTGCAACACAACTGAAAACCGGACAGTGACGTACTAACAATAAGTGTTCCTTCCGTCGTGAATAGAGCACACCTGTACCCGGCCTTGAAACGATAATAGCTCGCATGCGGGGTGTACAGCTGTGTGTCTGCGAGACTGTATTTGCGAGCATGGTTAGCGTAATACTCTTTCTGGGTTAGCAGTGGGTTTTAGAGGTCAAACACTATAATGCTGGGACACCCGGTGAGACGTGCTGGTCGATAGACAAAGATGACATGCTGAGCGAAGTCATCTTTTGTTAGCAAAATCGACAAAGCGGCATGTATGATTTAAACACGACTTTGATAACCTGACGATGCTATAAGCTTCATTCATTGGCCTTTCTTCTGGAGGGATGGTCATTTTAAATTAACTACGGGCCAATACTCCTGATCAATGCGAAAACACTGAGTCAAAAAAAAAGAGTGGGGGTCAATGAAGTGTATAATAACTAACTTATGACTTGGAAATATTTTTGTTTTGCTGGCCGAAGTATACCAAAAGCTGAAATCGAACGGAATGACTTTCACACATACACTATCACACATTTTGTCCTTCTCTGCTTTTTGTGTGTAATTCATGCGCTACAGAAAATGGGTTAGAATTTTAACAGGATGCATTACACAAGTGAGACTGACAAGGGATGATTACCGTGGCCTTTCTTAATGTGACATATATCACGAAATGCGTCTTAAAATGCTGAGTGAATGCTTTCGCTGAGCGATTGTCTGAACTGAGACGATCTTCCCGCATATTTGTACATCAGAGCATAGTCCAATCACTTGAAGCTGAATCTTGAAAAAAAAACGCAAATGAGATACTTGGTTAAGTTTACAGTAATTGCGCCATTCTTAAAATGCTGTTCCGAGGAGCCATTCAACTTTGGGCGCTGTTGATAATTTTGCTTAGCTGAAACAGCTCGGATTTTTATGGATAAAATGTTCTAATCTGATTTGCAGCAATCGCTTAGCAGACAGCGTAGACAGATTTGAAATCAGCGTTTTAAGACACACTTAGTGATATGCGTCTCATTACGAATAGCCACGGTCACCAAGTATCCTCTCTTGTAAGTCAGAAAAAAAATTCAAGCGATTAACTGAAGTATCTTTTACTCACCACACGATCTCCTACAGATAATGGCCTTCGCAATGTAGGTGCTGAGGGATCGTTTCCGTCTCGCACCGATACTTCGTACTCGATCTGAAACTTTGTGGCTAGATATTATGTCTTAAAGGAAGAATGCATTACTCACCTTTGGAGAATTCACAAGTGACATAGCTGTGGTCACTTGTGTATCGATAGTGACACCGCCAAAAGAAACGGTCACTTGCGAGTCCCTGGAATCAAGTATGCTTGAGCATCCCCCATAGAACAATTTTACATAAAATTAGCCATTATACTGGGAACGAAAGAAGTGATTGACTAACATCAAACTTTACCTGAATATAGGACTGGCAGGAATGCATGTGAGGAGGTATCTTTTGTCATTCTTATTGTCAAAAATATCGCCGTTCTGTACGGCTATCTCATTCTCGTAGTTCCCGTCTCTATTTTGTACCGTCTCGCATCCCACGAGAGGAATCTATAAATTAGCAATTAGGCATGGCCATCCTAGATGCAGAGATGCAGACCTACCTTGACTTCATAGTCAGTACTTCTCTGGATGGAAGCGTTCACGTAGACGCAGTTTGGCTCACCCTTCTCCGTTTGTATCAGTCCAGTGAAGGTTTCATTGAACCTTATCCGCAAAAGAAAATCCGTCTGAAAAATCTATTATTAGTTCTTCAAAGTAAGGAGGAGACTTCAATTTGGGACTGCTTTTTGAAGCAATGGCGGTGTCAATTGGTAGTATATACATAAAGCATCATGTTATATTTCTTTATCCTGAGTTAGTCTCTTTTCTTATGTGCAGGCATATAGTTGGTCTTGATATTGCCTTCATTTGGCACACATGTTCCTTCTTCACTTTGCATTCAAAGCCAGTTTTGTGCATTTGCGACTTCTGAGATCATCTTCGTCGAAAATGCATTTACTTCTAGTCCATTGCAATCGACAGAAAACATAAGACTTCACTGTCACAAAAATCACCTGGGGAAAATTATGTTTACAGCGCGACTTCACTATGTCTAATTTCAGTCGCTTCTAAAAGTGAATGAGATTATTAGTAGCTCTCAAATGAATAGGCAATTTTAGCAAACACATTTTATCTTTTTTTCATGTTCTCTGTCCTATACGTGTTTCGCTTGATTGCATCATAGCAAGTCATTGAGCACACGATGGAATGTTTGATAAGCAAGGACCAGTAACAGAATAGAGCAACTGTGTTAGAAAAGTCAGACCCAATATCTTTCGATTAGTGAAAAATGACGAGTGAGATGCCGTTAATATTGGAGGTTACTCTTGCAGTGTAATAGCTTCAATAAGCATGAATGGACGTTATAAAGCAGTGCAATTTATATTTACTCCGAACTTTTTGACAGTTTTGAATGTACACTTTAGTTGGAAAGTTTGCCACATGATGCGCTATCTAACGGCAGTTGTGACACTTTTTTCATGCTACACACTTTCTCCCCATTTGCCCTTTGCACTGAGTTCGTGATTGTTCTAACATAAGTCTCCTAATCACGGTCTCATCTGCCACGCGAACCGCTCTTCTTGTACTATGCTACGGGAACGAGCGTGAAGCCTCATTGGCTCAGGGGCAGAGCGTCTGTCTAGTAAACAGAAGGTCGCTGGTTCGATTCCAGCATGAGGCATCCCTTTTGCCGTAGCCGGTGTGGGTGCTACGACAATATTCCCACAATCAACGTGCATGCGAAAATTAGCATGTCTTCTTCGACTTACATACTTCAAGCAATTGCCAACTGCAGACCACCTTTGAATCCTTTTGTGAAGATAAAATTTTTTGCAAAGGTAAAAACTATTATAACGTACTTTATCACAAGCGATGGAGGTATTGATAATGGCGGGAAGCGACTGACAGGCTGATATGATGACAACTGTTATGATCAGCCTCATCGGTGAGGAACGATGAGGGCAATTTTGCTGAACACTTCTGCCTTTTTGTGTCTGTTTCTGAAAAAGTGAATTCATACAATTATGATGAATTGCTTGCGGATGTTTAGCAAATAATCCAGGATCGATTCGGACACTAAAGCAATAAGAAATAGCAAAAACTATCTATAAACTTTTCGAATGCTTCTCAACTTTTTAATTGTCTTATTTATATCATTTATAAGCTATTAGCTTGGAGTGCACAGAAAAAGAACTCGAAAATATGATAGTTTGTTAAAATGATAAATTAGAAAGGCCAAAGGCAAACTCTGGGTACAGGAAACTAGAATCCTGGACAGTGGACGAAGAACCATGCTATGTTAGAATCGGAAGGCAGATAAAACCGCGATATAGTTTGAACAGTTAGTTTAAAAGAATTCAATAAGGCGTAGTTTGGTAAACATATGCAATGCATAATAACAAATTTGATAATGAACAAATCTAGATACGGAATGCTGGAGCTAGAATCAAGATTTCGTTTCCCGACTGTTGAGAAACGGATGCGAATTACAGATTGCATATGGAAAGCGAAGCGAGAAAATTAAAAATACAGACATCAGTGAAAATTATCAGACCTACTCAAACCAGAGTTATGAACGGCATAGTTAGCGGCTAGTAAGAATGGCTCTGTGCTTGCACATCGATTCACATTATCGTAGAAACTAGTGAAGTCTTTGTTGCACGTCAAAAGCTATGGACTTCTTGCGCTTTGAGAAAAACAAACAAAAATAGAGAATGAGCGTAGTCCTCATATCATGGGATCAAGAATAGCTATTCGAAATCTCTAAACAGAATTATACGTAATTGTTTTCGAATAAGTATAGCTATGCTCAGTCAACAGTCACAAGAAAACTTCAAAAAACTCCACCTTCATCGTAATTGTTTTTGCATGCATGAGTTTTATTAATGCTAGATTTAATTTTGCTTTTTTATGATTCACAAATCATCTTGGTTACTAGTATACTCATGAGGTAAAAGAGATTTGTGCTGGTAGTGATAACTATAGCATAACTGGGTACGGATTTCTCTGCGCGCAAAACAATATCGGCTCTTGTGAGATTGTTGTAGTGTTTTGGACTAGTATACGAATGAATCAATTCCCGAGTGTACTGGTGCAATGTCCTTTTTTTAAACATGCTGGATTGAAAACGCGAGATTTTCAGGTTAAAAGTAAGGCAGAGGTTACTGGCTTGTAAAAACCTACAAAATGAGTATTCATGAATGGGTCGTTAAGATGGATTGCTAATATCTTGCGCACAAGCATTCTTTAGCACTTGAGCTCATTCCTTTTGGGTACTGAAGAACTTGGAAGGAAGATCTCTGTTTTTGTAAGATCTAGATAATTGAGCAAAGAACAATATGTCGAAAACAAACAGTCTATGCAACATAATAGGCTCATCAAATTGGATCTGCACTACATACATCCTTCAGCAATATACCCTCATGCAGATTACCTTTGTAAAGGTTAAACTTTTATTAATTCCATAAAAATCTGGTAGATGATCATAAAACTGAGGTCTTCCTTGATCATAAAACTGAGGTTACGCCTTCGTCCTCCTGAAGCCTCGGACAGAGCTCACGCGATTTGATCGTCGTTCAGTCGCTACAAGACAACTGTTACGAGCTCATTGCGTGCCGATCAGCTTGCATTTCGGTTGTGATACTTTTCCAGCTCGAAATTTTTGAATGAAAAATGAAAATGAATGAAAATCGCGGTGATTAAATTGCGACGATCAAATCGCGTGAACTCTGTCTGAGGCCTGAGAGGTTTGAAGGAGGAACTAGTATGTACTAAGGTTGGCTTTTTAGCCAGTGATCGTCTGCAATCCATATGATGTTGCAAAGAAGGCAGAGGTTACTGGCTTACTGGCTTACTGCCTTACCTTCACTTTTTGAGATGCACATGAAGATATTCAATATACAGGGTGTCTAAAAGTATGTATGCACTGTTTGATCGTTAATATCTCTCTTTCCAAGAAGTCTTTTGCCTTGCTTCAGGTACCGTTTTGTAGAGCTGGCGTCAGCTTAGGTTTGCAGTATAGAACTACTGTAGGATTACGGTAGAACTTGAAACATATGGTGTCATTGTGGAAGAAGCTGCTGCCGTTTCAAAATTTTTCAAAAAATGTGAAAACTTGTATAATAGGGTTTTTATGGACGCTGAGTTCAATACTCAACTATTCACGAGATTGCGAAGCTTTCTAAACGGTGTAACCGCACTTTTTAGGAACATTGAAAAAAACGGCCGCTACCTCTCACCCGGCATAACTCTTCAATGAAGCATCATAAAAAGTTGGAAACTTTATAGTAAGAATCAACGACTCTATTAGCCTAGTGTAAAAGTTTTCAGGCTGTTTTGTTTCTTTTCTGGGGCAGAATAAGGCCTTTCATGGCTCAAAACCCTCATTGAAGTTTCTACCGTAATCCTACAGTAATCAAGAGAGATGGATGATTCGTTCTTTACTGCAAATCTAAGTTGAAGCCAGCTCTACAAAACGGTACCTAAAGCAAGGTAAAAAACTTCTTGACACCCTGTATAATACCTACGTTCTCTATGATCAGCTTTTCGTGTGTGTTCTTTAGAACAATTGCTATAGGAAGGGCATATCGTGCATCCCCAGTATTGTTCCCATATGAACCAACTTGGCTGCCTTTCGGTCGTTTTAACCTTTAACCCCAGCACATTTAAGGCGCTTATACGAAGTTGACATGTTGAAGTGACCAGAAGATAGCCACGTTGATGGCTCACATGGGAACATTCTGAGGAAATGCACCATAGAGGGAACAATTCTGAGGATGCACCATAAACACAAGGAAGTTGGTGATCACTCTCCAGTTGGAAATAAATAGGGGATCTGCATACATACAGAAAAGAAATGTGATAACTTGATTGAGTAAAAAAAATCTTGATAATCGAATAGGCAAGATGATTGTTTATATCGTAAGCTAAAGTCAGCTCTCTATGGGAGACATTTTAAGAGCCTGAAATTGTGGACAATGAGGCGAATAAGGTGGGTCAAACATCGGAAATAAGGTCACACAAATTAAGCAACTTTTATACATAGGAATAGCATGTAAGAGGAAAAGAGAGCTACGCTCTCTTCCCTCTTCTTTCCTCCTGCCGAGTACAGATAGTAGCTCATTCGTTTGGGGCCTTCCGCTAAAATCTGTTCTAATAGCTTGTCTCGGGAACCAAATGTCATGCATCTGGTTATCCGTTGAGGTATGACACAACTATTCGATGCGATACGATTTCAATGATTAGTTAATATGTTGCCTCTTTGGGATTGAATTCTAAAAGAATATACGTAAATAGGACTATTGTGGAATAAGCTAAATAATATTTCTTTCAGGTGATGCTGTTTTCAGTCGAACTAGAAACGTTTTCTGAGGCCATCTTCATGAGAGGAAATTGGATAAATAGGTGAGCTAATGAATGGATAACTTTATGACCCCGTCAATGTCTCTCTAGCTTTTACAAACAAAGCAGATTCTTGGATTGTAAGGCAGAAGATATAGACTCAGTTCTTTCATAATGAACACGCTAAAATCCAAAAAATGTGTCGCGTTACAAAATGACTCTTTAAGAAGTTACGAATAAGTAATGATGACGGAGATCGATGCCTAGTAATTGACTCTGCCCAGAAACTGGTGGCGAGCGGTAGGTTGTAGCGAAGAGCTGAACAGGGAGGAGCGGGTAAGTGCGCGGGTTGAGGTATGGCCGACCGTCCGCCCGGCCCTATAATAACCCCCTCATTAAGAAGAAGGAAAGCCAGGCATAGGCAAAGGGAGAGAAGAGGCCGGTTGTATTGTAGCCAAAAAGGCGTAAGCGACCGATACTCCCCGCTGTGAAGCGAATCATACACCTCACTCGCAGCGGGCATTCGTCGAAAGGTGAAAAGAAAAGGGCGGATGCAAGACGAGTGGAGAAGAACATTTGGCACCAATCTTATGGGATCCTCTGGCAAAGAAGCGCTAGACGTCGAATGAACCTTGGCACTGCAAAAAAAGCAGCTTATCCTTGCGCAAGGACGAGTTCCCGTTTTTCTGTGCAGCGCGAGAGGAGCGGTGTTGACGACTGCGAGCATCTTTACATGAAAAAGGGGCTCTAATCTAGCTAGGCAAGGAAAGTGAAAACTCATTTCAAGTCAAATTGCTGGAATCATCAGCTCACTGCTAATCTACGTATCTTCGCATACGCTCTTAAAAGCACCGTCCATCCTAAGTTGAGGGTCTTGAGCCGTTGGCAGCACATGATAGTATGTAGGACCGACCCATATCAAGCCAATGCCCAAGTTGCGGCGCAAAATGTCGCTTCGGAAGCTAGAAAATTGCTCCGGAATAACAAGGATGCACGAGGACCCTCAGACGGCACCGCCCTCCCCATCCATGCCCGCCCATCCATGCGGTCTCATCCAATCACTGGAAAGCCACGTTCCGGAACGCCGGCGTGTGGGTTCTCTGGAACAGGGATTTCGGGGTTTTTTTCGGACTTTTGAGCTCATAGTCAGGGTCATGAGAAGGCCCTGGAACGACAAAAACCTGGAAGCCGAGAATCTGGGTGAATGGTCCTTTAATCTATGAATTGATTGACGCTAAAGATGTGAAAATTGAAGTGGAATATTTTATTATTAGGTTGTCTCATAAGTCTTTTCGTATCTGAATCTTTACGCATAAGCCTGCTCTTCTTGAATTTCTAATGGGATGCGTGAAACTCCACAAGATGGCGTTCAAGAGTTCGCACCAAGCTTGACCCGCCTCAAGTTTCAAGCGAAAATAAAAAAATTCCGAATTTCCAAAAAGCGAAAATAATCGTATCTCAGTTCAAATAGAATCTGCGGATTTCCGTCTTGCTCACGCAAATACCTTCCTCATTGATATTTATACATACATTTGCTACATTTTTCCAATGCCTAGAAATCGAAAAAATAATACGCTTAATTTTCAAACTTTGACTGTAGCGGTTCTATGTTCCTAGCAAATATGTAGTTATATAGCTTATTCATTCAGAAATACTCCCTTAAATTTTCATCCTTGTAAGTGCTTTAGTTCTTGAGAAATATCTATTCGAAGGTTAGATGAAAAGAATTATGGGACACTAATAGATTCAGATGTTCGAATTACGTAGATCAAGATTGTTAACCAAGTATTATGTTGACGCATGAGTGTATATGGTAGGTTGAGCCTGCACCTTCACATTTCATTCAAGTTCAGACTAGCAATTTGCAGAAAATAGTTAAAAGTACTTTTTCCAGTGCAAAGAGACCAACAACAATTGCATGGGACAATTTTCGTCATTTTTTCCTTAATCACATGTGGCACTTTATAGAATGGACAGCATTGAATGAAAAGATATCAAACAAAATGACCGGGTGCTAGTTGAATGTGAATAACGCGAAATATCCAAAATAATTCTGTGGAAAGTCCTATTTTTTTTCTGATTATAGTCACCTTAAGCTCTAAACACACACTGTACATTAAATCATTAGATTTTTAATAATGTTTTGCTTCTTTCGTTGTTGATGGAGTTGAAATGAAGGATATCTGATTCATGCGTTAGTTTCCGTACAAGAACTCTAGTAACCACTTGCAGGTGGACAGTACGGTCACTGAATTGCGTAAGACTAGACAGCCCCATTGAGGCTCTTGAACGTTATTACGACCGATTACGAGCGGGTTTGGCTACTAATTGTTCACTCACGTCATGGTTACGTGTTAGAGAACCTTATTCATAGTTTTTTTGACAAGCAGATATCGATCGAAAAAGGATAACGTGAAAGTTATCTTTTATATTCAGAAAAACAGACATTCCATGAAAATTCCAGACGAAGAGAAAACGAGCGCAGCATCTATAGTCATGCCTACGAATGCGCTGAAGCGTACAGGTAAACTGGCTTTTGGTGTCGTAAATTATGTATATGCGCAGGTACAACCATCCTGCTACTAGTAAGGAAAGAACGACGAAAGGGTTTTTACGGATACAAAAGTGAGTGGGGATAGATGGGAGTTATGTCGGTTCGGTGGGATCGCTATCAGCGTTTTTGTATTGGTTCGGTATGAGTGTTTATAACTGTCAAGGCCTCTAATATGATTTTAGCCACGTTTTCTCCGATATTCAGGTTATTACGCCTGATTTACTCATTTGAGAAATAAGGTTTTGAACAGGATTCCCTTTATACACTTATTCATTAGGTAAGGTGTGTAATTGGAAAGTTTAGTAAAACTTGTGAAAGACCAAATATAATATTAGGTTGGCTAGTAAATAAGTTCGGTCGTTTTCAAAGGTTTGTAGAAATGTTACCGAACAATTTAGTAGGGTATGATATATTCGAAAGAGCAAATCAAGGTAACTGGATGATCAACTTTCTAGGCGACAATTGTTATTTTGACAACAAAATAGTGCAAGAAATCAAATTAGTTGGAATTTTTTTTATTAAATTGTCGAGAAATGCTGCTCCGAAAAATGAACTGAAGCCGGGTGTAAAATGTATCATCGGCTCCCAAATTGATGTGGAGGCGGGTTGCGGACATCTCTGACTTTCAGGATAAACTGTTAAACCTCCACGTTGTAGCATTGTATTTCGTACTCTCTCGTCAAGCTTATCCTTGAAATCAGGGAAGTCCGCAACCCGCCTCCACACAATCTGGGAGTCGATTATACACCTAGCATCCATACAATAAATTGAGAAGGTTCCAGCCATTTGCACAACCATAGATGGTCTGACTTTAGCACTCTGGATTGCCCAAAAACTGACTTTCACGCGCAAATATGTACTGGAAAATTTTCATATCTTTGGCTGCAGAAATCCACAAACAGTACATCACCATCTTCATTGAGGTTCTCAATTTAGCCAAAGATTGTGTAATTGATCACTAAATTACTCGTCCATGCACTCACTACAGGCTGAGAACTGAGAATTGAAGTTAGAGTTTCAATAGAGTGATTTTTTAGAAGCCTGGCCTTATAAGGGCATAATTGCCATCTGTTCATAAAGAAATTTATGAGAATCAGATATGTAAGAGTAATGCCGTTTAGCTACCACCTCTCAGAAAGATCTCCCGAATAACTGCTACTCAAATTGTTACAGAGCTTCGAAGTTGCATATCAAAACGAACTTATTTATTAGCCAACCTAGTAGTTGCCGAAAGGCAAATTTTATGAAAGACCAAATAATTAGTGAATAAGGAAGAATAAACTATTAGGTTGTCCCAAAAGTAAACTCCTTTTTTGAATAACTCAAGCTGTTTTTGTTTTCCTAGTAATAGGGTATCATTCGATAGAGCAGATCAAGCTCCACAAAATGACCGCCAAGGATCCGCCTAAGTCGCCTTTCATGTAAAGTTTGAAGCCAAAATCGAAAAAAATTTTGGCACCTGAAAATTGGATTTCTGCGACAAAGAATCCTACAGTCCTCCAACTTGATCATTATATAGTAGAGTACTCAAATATGCCTTTACCGAATTTCTTCCAAGCATAGAAAGAGAGAAACAAAAATTGTCCAAAAATGGCAAACTCCGCCCCCAGCCCCTATCACATATGTCAACGTATACTACAAGCCTTACTAAGTATAATTTCAAAACCTTACCCCTGTATGTGCTCTTACAATCGACAAATACCAAGTTTACATAAAAAACCCGAAAATAGTGGCATTTTGGCATTTTGGGACCACTTCTGTTTCTCAATTTTGAGCCCCGGAAAAAATGCAACAAATACATTTTTGACTACTACTATGTGTCTACTATATAAAGACCAAGTTGGAAGTCCGCAGAAATTTTCTGGAAGGAGATCCGATTTTTAGGGTAGCTGAAAAATTTTAATTTGTGGCTCGAAATTTTACCTAGGTTACGAATTAATTGGACCTTTGGTAGTCTTTTTGTAGAGCTTGCTACGCTCTACCGAATAGTACCCTAAATCTGTCAAAAAAAAACAAAAACAGCTTAAGTAATTTGAAAATGGAATTTACTTACAACCTAATAGAAATGCGGCAGTAATTTCTTGATAGCTAGATTCGGTTACTTCAATCTTCACGTTCCTTCCACACTCTCCGGAAAATTATATGAGGAAGAAACTGTGCAGCTACGTAGTGTTTATTTCTTTAAGTAAAGAGGCGACGGGCCGTGCTTCTGTTTCTTCTGCATTAAACCGGTTTCTAGTTTTCAAGTACGTCATTAATTCTCCGATGTTTGCTTAAACTTAGCCCTTAAATATCCCTGTAGATCAAGTTATTGACATTTTAACATAATTTTAGGTTATCACTAATGTCACATATCAAGGAGAAAACGATATTTGCTGCATGTAGTCTAAGCCATCAAACCATCTTCACTAAATATCAGAATCATGAAGTCATAGAACTACTTGCCTAGGAACCTGCAGACGCTGGCAACAACATTGCACAACTGGTTGTTCCGAAGATAATTAGTTGGTTCACTCACTCAAAACGCAAACTTAGAAGTAGCATGAACTCTAGACTCTATAAACGAAGGAACGAAGGTTTTGGAGCTCTCATTGTTTTTGATTATCGTCAACTGCTGATGACGATATCGATGTTGATTAGGCTTAGTCATTCGACGCCTTTGTTGGCGGTGAGACATCAGGCGCGCAACCAGGGCGTTACCCATTCCAACAAACATCGATCAGACTTTCTTTCCAAGGAACAAAATCGATCATCAGCAATCATTCACTCTCGTAGCGCAGTTCCACCGATCTTCGTTCGCTGTGTCCACTTATCCAACATTTGCGGAGCTTTATTCAGCTGTAGTCATCTTTTCCCTAGGTTCCTGCTGTGTAACTTACTGGCGAAGCTTACTGTTCTTCAAAGATCCGCTAATGCAAACATAGCAAAAAACGACAAGCATGTTTTGGGGTAAATTTTGTTTTTACTTCATCTCCAAACGCCCTTACATCTTGTGGTCTTCAAGGTCAATCATTGCTCACTTTCGAAACTGGTTCCCATTAACTTTAGGTGAGAATCTCAACAGTATAAGCTTGCATTTCAGCCGATTCACTTTTTTATTTACCTCCATAAAATCTCAGCGCTAAATGTTCCATCAGACTGCGCTCATATCTCGCTGTGATTTATGAAAAAACTTCCCATGTTTATTTTCTAGCTCTCTCATCTCTTCCCGCAAATAAAACTCGACGATCAAAATAATAATATTAGGTCAGACTGGACAGTTCAGCAGCACTTGTTCGAGTCACCCATTAACACATTCACGACAATACGATCCACCGGTGGGTCGTACGTGTTCTGCCGTTTCGAACAATAAGCCCCACGGGTGGGCCGTAAGTTTGACAAAGCGAAAAAGGCTCCGGTCCGAAACGGCAGTAATCAAAAAATCGATTTTGCCGTGAATGTGTTAACTTTCACACATCGTAGAAATAGAAATAAGCTAACAAATTGATCATTTTTTTTTTGGTTTGGTAACTTTCCATATCAGTCACACTATGTGCTAGCAATAAAATAGCAATCAGTCTCTAGTGTTTCAGAAGTTTCGCATTTATCTTCCACTCATTTGAAACCATATATTTCAAACACAAAATTCTCTGATTTCAATTGATCTTTTTTTTCAGCGTAGTAATCACATTAAACTCACACCATGGGTAACGCTGTTTACACCGATCAGCTGGTTTGTCACGACACCATCGAAGCTTGTGAGTTACTTTTAAATCAATAGAAATGTTGACTTAGCAGACAAAAATCATGAATCTATGTTGATTGACTGTTGACTCTTGAGTTTTGTCATCTACTCTGAAAAATTCAAAATTTCAACTTTTCAAGAGCAGACATGAACACCTTCCAGCTTTATTAAAGACGGATCACAATTTTGATTATGGTCCAGTGAAGGCAAAATTTTTCTTTAGGCAAAGCTTCTTGCAGTTACGAATGTGTATTCACTGACAAGTGCAATGGAGCAGCCAACAAATACCTATGTGTTCCAGTCGATTTTCGATGGCTTACGTTAGTAATGTCAAATTGTCATAGAATCTCTACTTTTTTCTTCTTCTCCATTTCACACATTTAGATGGCTGATTTTCGGCTGTTTCCTGATAGTTGTGCTATGCTGCTCGTCACTGGTTGCTTGTTATGCTTGTCGAGCCATCCGAGCTTCAGTGCGAAATCAACAAATGCATTACCCGGACAGAGATGTGGTCTTTACCAATCCTGGCCGAGTCCATCATATTCATTTGGATGGCAGTCATCGCAGAGAGCACCCACCATCAAGACGATATTGACAGGTTTGTAGTCTCTCTTAAAATTCCAACTCCGTGAAGCGTCATTGAAAGCTACAATGCAGCCTCTAACTTGGGTAGAAGGTGACTTGGTTCAAAGATTTTCACGAGATCGTACGGTGATTCTTGAAAAGCCAGTGATAGAAGATTCGAAAAACTATCAGTTCTACATTTACTGTCAATGAGAGGGTATACACTGAATTGCCGCAGCAAAAAAAGCGCGATGAAACCGGATACGTAGAATTCAACATAAATTGAATTTCTTCACATTCTCAGTTGTATTTTTGATAGACAATAAATAAGAATTGTTGATCGATCAAAAATCAAAAAAAATCTATCTCAGCAGAAATTATGGGGTTCAACGACTTTTATGCAATTTTTCCGTCTCGGCAATTCAGTGAAATGTTGGCGGTTCTCAAAATCTTGTACCACTGGCTCAAAAATTACCGCCTGATCTCGCGAAAATCATTAAAACCAAGTTACGGGGTCCCGATTTCGTCAAGTTAATACATCGCAAGCCATCTTTTGACCCTGGTTAGGGGTTCTATTGTATCGTCTTTCGTCTCACCTTTTTTTTGCAAATGTTGTGGCCCCTTCTGCGCACATTCAAGGGCTGATTGAATTTTGAACTGCCTGCATTGTGCTTTCACCAGCGCAGTGGAAATATAATGCCTTACAGATATTATTCTCCTTAGCTGTGCTTGGCCCAGGGCTTACCCAATGATAATTCAACATTGCTAATTTCGAAAATATTCAAATTCATGCCTTTTTCTGCCAAATAAGTTCATGATTTCAATTTTGATATAAGGAATAGTTCTAATTTCGCAAATGGTGTTGTATAGCTTGCATGTATTATACAAGTAACTATGGATTATGCATGTACTTGTTGCTCAGCATTCCAGTGCCTATGCATGTAGATTATTTTCGAGGTTGTGCACATGTTGTTAGATTCTCGATTGTCTCGTAAAAGATGTTCATCCATTGTATTTAACTATGCGGAACTCTCCCCGTTATCGTTACTTGCATGATAATTCGTTTTTGTATTGTGATTTGTATTGCATGGAGGGAATCTCATGCGGTACATGTATTAACGCCTGGAAAATAATGGCGCACCCTCACTTTTTGATCACTTTTAGGATCCTTTTGTTCAACAGCTCTTAGATGGCAAAGCTTATCTTGTTTGCGTGACCCTCGAAAATCACTCTGGTAGTACCTCTGCTGCTCCCCTGCAGCAATTCTTCGAGCGGCACTTTGAAAATTGGACAAATTTCTTGGGGCATCTCCTGAATTTGCATGGGTGCATCTCAAAATTCTGAGCATGTAACATACCATTTTTGTAGAAAGCCTTCAAAGAGCTTCAACAAAACTTGTGAATTTTTGTCTATGGAACATCAAAAGTATTGTAGGATATTTCTCAGTTCAAAAGTGAGGAACTAAGTCGTGCTTGGTTTGTATATTGCGAAATTGATAAGAAAAAAATCTAGGTAAGCTGCTTAGGCGTAGACAGAAATGTTTCCAAATGATCTGTAAAGTGTCTTAGAGCATGGAACGGTGATTCCGAATCTGCTTCCGATATCTGCAAAGCGCTCCTGAAAGTTATGAGAGCTTTTGAAGCAAAAATTTGAACGCACAGGTACATCATATCATCAGAACTGTACTCTGTGAGCTCAAAAGGGCCATGATTACCTGTTAGGCGCTTTTTGAAGTCAATACCTAGTCTAATAAACTATGCTAGTTATCACTCCTTTTCCGAAAAAACTTCAATACCTGTTGATACCTCAACCAAATCCTTGAATTTTTGCCTAAAAAACTCCCATACCCCTCCGCCCTTCCTCCCCCGCGCAGAAGAGCGTTGCAGATACCCATAGCAGATTTGGAATCAACATTCCATGCTCTATAAGACAATTTACATTTCATATGGGAACTCCACTTCGACTGAGTATCCTTCTTTGCAAGTTATCTCGAGTTTGATGCCTTCTGCTTCACAGTAATGGTATCATAGGTGGTATAATTAGAAGCGAATATTTTCGAACATTCGTATACAAATAATTTATTCAAACTAAAATAGTCAAATATCTAGGAAAGTGCATCTATTTGATTATTCGAATAGTCGAATGGATGGAAAAGACCTTCATTCGAATATTTGTTTATTTAACGAACTAAAAAATTCTTATTCGAATATTCCTATAAATTATTTTTTTCGATTCGTCGAATGAACAAATGTTTGAATAAAGGTCTTCTCCATTTATTCAACTTTCAATCAAATAGATGCACTTTTTGATGTCAAGGCAACTAAACTTGCATTGTAATGGACAAAGATTATAACACATGTCAATGAGCTTATATGAATCTCGATCAAAAGATTTATAATGTCTGTCGAAAATAGGGCGATTTCAAATCGATTATTGAAAAAACGCATTGATTCTCTAAGTGCCCCGCTGATTCCCAACCATACACGGTAAGAAGAAGGCTGATTTCTGCTCATTAACAGAGCTCGAACGAGAGCGTCATATGGAGAAATATGAAACAAATCTGCCTTTTTAAGTTTCGATTTTTACGATTTACCACTTGTTCGCTTTAGATGCATAAATCGTTCAATTAACACACTTTTCTGGGTGGGGGGCATTAGGTCGCCGAAAAAGGGCGGTCCCCGCGGTCATTTGCGACAAACACGCACCCTTGTACATGCGCGGACATGCGTTCCTGCAGGGAATCCGCGCGGGACTCTTCCAAATTCGGCGACCTAATGTCCTCCACCCCACTTTTCTTTCTCAAGCGAAGCGGCGTCGCTGCTTCGCAGCCTAACAAACAAGGAGGAGTTCCAAAGTCCTAAAGTATATTGTAAAATAGCGCTGGAAAACAACATCCACCATAATGCAGAAAGAGATGGGTACGCTTTTAATTACATAAGTTTTTCAAACCATTTCATAATTTGTTTCTATACCCCACTGCGCATGTACACATCAAGTTTGGGGCCATACCGTCACTTGTGCGTTGCAAATGAGTCCTTTACGCTACTCTAACTCAGACAATTTACGGGAATTTTCCGAGGGCTGTGGGGGAACTTTCAGCAGGTCACCTAGATAAGGTCCCGTAAAGCCCTCGGGAGGTTCTGCAAATAAGCTCTCGGGAACTTCCCCAAAAACGGAAACTTTCCGAAGATTTCAGTCACAAAACTTCGCGAGGGCTGTAGATGGTCCTTTGCGTAGCTATTCGGAACCTTTAACAGTAAACCCTGCTTCTTTCGAGCGTACCCTTACTTCAGTTACTCTGGCTAGAAATACCCAAAACACAGATATCCTTCATCATTTATTGTTAAGGTACAGATATAGTACATTGACGGAACACCCTGAGAAAATCTTTTTAGCATTTTTCCAAAATTAAATTACAACGGTGCCTGAATGGTGCGGATGGAGTACCATACTGAGATATGAAGTAGCATGTACTGACGGTAGGCGAGCGCGAGCTTAGTGAGAATGAGAAGAGGTATCATGTGATATGGCATTAATGATAATTTTCGGAAACTCTTAGAAACCCACAATCCTTGGATTCGTAAATTTCCCACGGTTCCCCGCGCTGCTCCTCCTGCCCTTGTCCTTTATATACCAAATCTGATGGATATCATTTCGTTGTGTGTGCGCCGTGAACGAGGCAGTAGTTTTCTACTTTTTAAGTTAAAAAAGTTGGCTTAGTTGGTGAACCTTAAGCAAAATCGTGTTTGTGCACATCCATCGTGTATGTAACAGTTTGTTAAGCGAATGCACTGTGTATAAAAGTGTATTCACAACTCCCACTGCTGTTTCCTTTTCATAACGATTTCCAGCCTGACATTCCACCCTCGCGCCGGGTCCTGTCCTCCCCCCCCCCCCCCCTCCCCCGCCGCCATCCTCCCCTTCATAAGGTTCTAACAATCTAAAACATGACTTTGATGTCTGTTTCCGTCTCGTTTCGTTACCACCGCACTTGATATTCAGAACTATTATCGGTACTCAGATTCGGTGGAGGCGGGTTGCGAACTTCCCTGATTTTCAGGACAAACTTGTTAAACCACGTTATAGCATTGTATTTCGTACCCTCTCGTTGAGCTTATCCTTAAAATCAAGAAAGTCCGCAACCCGCCTTTACACGAATCTGGAAGCCGATCATACATAATTGTATTCTAGATGTGCCACCCACCCGACCACCTTTCAAACAAAATTATATTTGCGTTCATCCATGCAAAAAATGGTAACATTAACAATATAAAACACTCATTTATTAACAAAAAACAAACTTGAAAATAATCCGTGCAGAGCACAGAATTAGGTTTGTTCTTATTTTGTAAGTGTTCTTCTCAATGCACAAGACTAATACCGAACAAGCTTCTCGTTTTTCTCGGCCAAGAGACGGTTGGCTGTCGCTCTTGGACCCCAGAGTTCTGTGTCGGGCATAAACAATCGCCAGTAACTCATTCTGTGTCGATAAAAGTAAGCAACCTGAGATAAATTTGGGAATAGCACCTCCATAAGAATGGTTGCGCTGTGTCACCTTTATTATCGCACAAATCCCTATGGGACTTAACAGCACGCACTGCCACATTACATCGTAGAACTGCATGTTGGTTCGATCGGCTCCCATGTATGTGATCAAAGCGTACTGTAAAGCCTTGATTTTAGCCCAAAGCATAATACAAGGTGTTTGGAAAGTTTCTGGCCTCAAGTACTTCAATCACAGGTTCTAACGCATCTTTGCTATATGTTTTCGCTAAACCTAGAGACTACTGAGTTAAGAAAAAATTTTTTTTGCTTTGAGACAAAAAATTTGAAAGTAACCAATTAACAACCAGCAACCAATTTTTCCACCTTTTTTGAGGGGATAAGTGCGTTATTTGATTTGTTCTAATTTCTTGAAGCCGAAAAACGGAAACAATTTTCCATTTCCTATGTCAAAGATTTCTGAATTCTACACTTTCTTTTTATAATAAAGTTCTCCAGTAGTGCGAACAAAGCTTTCCTGTCACTTAATTTCAGTAGACAATCGTGCAAGTTTGCGTTGAAATGCCTTTAATTCGAAAATTTTTCGAAGTCTTATTACGAATATGTGATTGTAGTAGATCCCTCTACCCTCGACGTCAATCCCTAAGTTACATTTGCAAAGTGGAGTGGTGTGGTGCAGCCGCCTCGCTTTGCGCTCGCGCCACGTTGCTGGGGCATCGTTTAGACGTGATGTGGCGCTAAAAACAACGTGGCGCCACAACATGTTCAAACGTGGCAGCAAGAACAACGCTTCTTCGTTGCTCCTGTTGCCACGCCATGCCAACTCATGCGCTCGCAAGGTGGCGCGAGCCCAAAGCGAGGCGGCCGCACCACAACACTTCACTTTGCAAATGTAACTTAGGGATTGACGTCGAGGGTACCTTACATTTTGTTCGTTTATGAAAATTTTGCACAGTGTAAAGTTTTTAGGTATAAAATATTAAGTCAAACCGAAAATTGTGTCGCTTTCATTTTGAGAAACTCGTAACTGCTCTCTATGTGAACATATTTGCTAAATTTCATCTGAGAAAAATTTACTGCCTTCTATCAACATCTTTGCGGCTCTTAGACAACAAAGAGGAGTAGAAATCCGAAGAACTAATCTGGCTCCCGATTTTCGAAAATATTTGAAATTTTGGAACGCTGCAGAAAAATTTGAAAACATGTTATTTTCCAATCTTTATGAGCTGCTCTTTTTAACAGTGCCAACTTTATGCTGATCGAGCTTTTCTAGAGAAGTTATGATTTCCAAAAAATGAAGAAAAATGCAAAAAAATACTTTTTGGCGTTGTTACATTCTTCACAAAAATTTCAACTTTTCAGGAAAAAGCTCAATAAGCACAAACTTGCTCTGTTGAAAAGAGCAGCACACGTGAACTGTAAGAAGCATGTTTTCAAACTTTCTGCTGCGTCCCGGAATTACAGCTTATTTTCAAAGAACGGGACCAATGGTTTTTTCATTCGAATTTTTATCACTGGATTCCTTTATCATCCAAGAGCCGCAAAGATATTACTAGAAAACAAATGAATCTTTCTTTGTGATGAATTTTTGTGGTACATGTAAGAAATAAAGAGGGCTTACAGATAGTGAACAAGGTCTTCCGTGAAATATGTTTTTTCTATAACAAGCCTTTCAAGGAAAGGACGTGGGAAGCTGTAGTGATTGAGTTTCCCCAATAAAAAATCAAAGAAACCGACAAAAAATTTACTGAAATGATGGTCTCTAGGTTTGATGAGCACAGAAACAAAAAGTGCGTCAAAATTTGAATCAAAATTACTAGCCAGGTACTTTCCAAACACCGTGTATGCTAGGTTTTATTAGTCTCAAATAACATATCTGCTGACCAGGATCGCTACTGGAATCACAGCTTTCAACATTGCCATCGTTATAAAGCCCGTGATCTGATTGACCCAGTTTTCTCCTCCTATGGCCGACTAAATGAACGTATTATATGTGTTAGAGGACTCTATGTGCTGTATATTTTTTTATATGAAGCTGAATGTCTGTTTGTTTGTATGTCTTTGCGTATAGTGTGTGTTTGTACGCATGTTCCGAAGAGAAAATTTCATTTCTAAACCTACCATTGCACATAAAACTTAGGAGCGAGTGTCGTAGGCTACTTTTTGTTTTCGATTAAAAGATTTTTATCGATTTTTTTGAAACTTCGAGCTACGGGTTGCACGAGGGGGTAGGTGAGCGTTGATTACGAATAATCGCTACGATAATAATTTAAGGGTATTCATTACCTTTATCGATTTCATCGATTTTTTGCAAAATTTGAGCTAAAACGGTGGAAGTTGACACAAAAGGGTAAGTAAGCATGCTGATTACGAATACAAATAACTTTTGGCGTCGTTTATTACCTCTATAAAGCTGCGGGTCTGAAAGTAGGTACAACGGGTTGGTGAGCATGCTGATCAAAACATGGTGGAGGCATGGAACCGGCTTAAAAAGCGGGAGAAGGGGGAAGTTGTTCTGAAGTGAGGAATGGCGATTTCATTAGAGCGTTAACACAGGCTGATCCGGATATGTCAGCTATTTTCGAAGAGCTGTTGGAACCCTTGAGACGTTTTTGAAGAGGGTCACATCAAAACCAGTGCTCTTGTGAGCATATATCATCAAGTCATTTGTAACTCAATATGCTTAGTGCATACTATACACGCTAACTGACGAACTGCAAAACTAGAACATGCTCATTTCCCTGATTTCTCCTTCTTTCCTTCTTTCTTTTGTTTTTGTTGTTACATGTTAGTCAGTAGAACACATTTCTACACTTTGTTAGGCTAGAAAGTGTTTTACTGGAAAGTTACTAGTATGGGTGTCGTTGCTAATGGGGCTTAGTGTGCAGTCTCACACATTAACTTACAAATGACTCGGTTATATTTTACAACTTACTAGTTTTCCTTCAATCATGGTGGAAATGTTGTTGGAGAACCGTCTTGTTCCATATAGACCGCATACCACAAATAACTCTGCGAGAATAAGAATGCAAGTGACATTCGGAAGGACGATCGTCTCCATGCTGATATCAATTACGAAACAATTCTAAAGAATAATTTGAGTTTATTCAAAAATACACAATGCATAAGCTAACCACGCAATAGCTAATGAAGCCGAGAACCGTCGAGCAGAGGCAGATGAGAATAATAACCGATGATCGTATATCCTTGGATTGCACAAAACTCCAATAATCCATCAACGCCGTGTAGATGACATCAACGCATATCATCTGCAAAATTCTAGGTCTTCATTCGGTACTTTTGAGCACTGTTGGACATAGCCAAAATCGTAACCAACCTTTCTAATTAGAGCGGAGAAAAATCCGAAAACTGCGAGAAGCATCACCAGAGGTGCGTGCATGTTGCGAAAAGTTTCAAAAGAGGCCGCAAATAGAGCTATAAGCTTCGTACCGGCACGATTTGATTTGAGCGTGAAGTCATTCGCTGCTTGGACTGAAAATGCTTGATTGAATGTGTAGAACACTTCAACTTATCGGTTCGCAGCTTCAGCAGATCAAAGGATGGTTGAGTTGTAAAAAAGCAACTAGCGTGTACTCCAGTAGATGCTTGAACTGTAGAGCAGTTGTTCGCCCATTTTTGGCACCAGAGCACAATATACAGGGTGGGGGGAAGTCCTTAAGCTTGGTATTTTTTATCACGGTAATCACGAAGCTAGGCAAGATGATTACATGAAATCAATTATAGGCACCCTCCACCTAAACCCTCGATTTTGAGTTTTTGTCCTTTTTAGCACCTCTTGCGCACACTGAGTCCGAATCCAGGCCTAAAATTGAACAATTTAAGCTACTGATTTTTGGATGCCCTTTATAATCCGCAGACGACGAGCACTCCTCGCGCAGGCGGTCACTGCGTGCCAGGTGCGGGCCCATCGCGGGCAGAGACGCCGAGGAACGCTGTGTCTGACCGATTTTTTGATCTTTGCGCCTGCTAGGCGAAGTCACTGAGTGGGCGGGACGAACGTAAAGCCATCGAAATTCCATAGACCCCATTCACCCCATTTTGGGTAGACGTGCCTTTAATATTATTTACTCAACTGTCTACTACATGAAAGTGAATTTACAATTCAAAGAAAACCCCTTTGACGCGAAAACAAGATCAGAAACGCTTGGGAACGTTATTCATAGTGGCACGGACTCAGACATTCGCCGGGGGTAGGCGGAAGAATAGATGGCAGATTTCTCGCACCCCGATCGCGGATTTTTTGGGAAGTAATCAGGACTTTCCGGAACGCCGCTTGCTGATTTCTCGATTCCTCAGAGATTCAGCTTTGCAAAAGATAACAAGGAAAAGATTCAACAGGCGGTCTCTCAAAAACTCGCCGACCATCTGAATGGAATTTGCGAGTGGAAAGCGAGATGTCAGCAACACGTATTTTCCGGCGCTCGCCTGCTCCGGCGATTGTCTAAGGAGGTGCTCCACGTCGATTTTCTCCTGTATTTTGAAGAGCACGTCGCAGAGACTCTACAGTCTTGTGTGGGTGAGCGCAGGCATTGGCCTAAGGAACTGACCACACCTGTAGTCGAGGTTATCCAGATATGACAAATATGGAAACCATTCCGCAAGAGTAATGAAGTCCTCAGCGTTGCTTTGAAATCATGCTTGAACAACCTTTGCTTTGTGCGCAAGTGCGCTAGCCTGCTGGGAACACCGATCGCTCCCAGCAAAATAAGTGGAGTTTGGTCCAAGCCGACAGTTCCTTTTTCAGTATGCTATCTAGATGCATAGCGGTTTTCACCTTGATGCCTTGAGACACAAAAATTAGTAGCATACCATCGAAAGCCATTGTGCACAAATCATCACAGAAGCTATTTGAAGCTTTCTTTCCGTCAGTCAAGCGATTAGATGATGATTCTGTTGTTTTGGCAATAGAAGACCTGCTTCATGGTGAAAACTGACGTCAAAAAGGGTACAGACCGGTGGCGTGCCCGGAAGATACTTTTAAGCAGTCGATGGCATCTGCGCAATCGGTTCGGTTTCATGTCTTCTTGAAAAGCATGAATTTTAAGCACCTGAAACTTTTCAATCCGCGGTCCTGTTTCACAATGTCGGAGGCAGTCTTGCTACAGATGGACAGCTTTGAGACCAGTTCAATCAAGCTTCACCGAGGATTGCGATGAAGGCGCTGTCGGACGATTTTCCGATTTTTTTGAGTCTTCGCAATAACTAATTTACCACTACAACAATCCTGGGTGTTCATATCCTGAAAACGAAGAAAGGTGGTGAAGATGCGATCTGTGAATTTTGAACCCGCGCGATTTGCTAGTCAGCCATCTTCTCCTTGTGCACTTGCCACCACCGCTCGCTCCGCTTCAGAAGGCATATCTCCGATTTAATAAAGTCAATAGTCCCGTTTTTGGGGGACTGGTACTCAACAGTATAAGAAGCTATACATACAACTAGCTTACAAGAATATGCGGACAATCCGAAGGTACACATCATAAATTGTTCAAGGACTTTCCCCCAACCTTGTATTTAGCGGAGAATCTATTAGACTGCAAACTTGGCGATACAGCTAGTGCAGATTTACCCGTAGCAAGAAATACTTGATGATCGCCTCCCATTGCTTCAAGAAGAAACGCATCTCTCACGAGTGCATGAAGCATGGCCTGTGATACATAAATAAACGAGACTATGATCGTGATCACCATCGCATCCCTAAATTTCAAAGTTTATTGAAGAGGCAGCATTTGATTTTTTTTTGCGAAGTGGTAGCAGTGAATATGGCATACGTCTGAACATTGTTGTGGAATGAATTTTGAGAACCTAAATAGATCATACCACCATAGCCAAGTCGCAAACACAGACACGCCTAAAGAATCAATGAATTTTTCGTTTGTAGTATGACAAAAGCAGACCATAATTATCGCAGTCAACCAAGTTTCGGTGTTAAAGAATTTCAAAGGCTTCTCAAAAACATGAGACGTAGGGTAATCCGGTGGATCCATGTACGCGTATATCACCACTATCGAAACTGTTACCGTGAACATCAAGGACATGTAGATGTAGGCTATCTGGAAGATATTCATGACAGAAAACTCGACGAACCATTTTTTGAGGTCTGTCCCTGTAGACGAGACGTTTGCGTGCATCCTTACGCCTGGCAGCATGTGTGTGTGCATGCATCCATGCACGCAATCTTATATATTAGGTTGGCACGAAAGTTCTTGCGTAATTCAAACAAAATTCAATAATTTTTCAAAGACTAAACCAAAATTCACAATCTTATATGCCTAAAATATTAGAAGCCTTACGCTTCATGAGGGATGTTTAAGCGTAAGATTCCGTGAGCTGGACATCAAGAACGAAGCTCTCGAATATGGGGCTTCAAATTTCGCGATTTTGAGTTTGGTGCCAGAAAATCGCAGAGTGCCGCTAGCTAGCCGAAAAAAATTTGCAGAATTTAGTAACACAACAAAAGTCCATATGTAACTTTGGAAGGCTTTGATCTTGCACGGTGAAGCAAAAACAAAAAATTCGTGAAATAAGTCATTTTGTGGAAAAAAATCTCTCATGTCCGCAGTTTTCCGGCGAAAACACTTTTTTACAATCGAGAAAACGTCGCAAGGCTCTAAATAGGCACTATGTCTAATTTCTGGTTGCAAACCGTGTTTTGTGGAAAAGCTAGTGCGATGAGGGGATTTGTCCTGTGAAATGAGAATTTTCACAAATTTTTTGTTTTCGCGTTTCCATGCGAGATCGAAGCCTGCTAAAACAACATATAAACTTTTGCTGTGTAAGTAAATTCTACAGATTTTTTTCGGCTAGCTAGCAGCACTCTGCGATTTTCTGGCACCAAACTCAAAATCGCAAAATTTGAAGCGCCTTATTCGAGAGCTTCATTCTTGATGTCCAGCTCACGAAATCTTACGCTCAAACATCCATTATGAAGCGAAAGACTTCTAATATTTTTAGCATACAAGATTGTGAATTTAGGTTGAGTCTTTGGAAAGTTATTGAATTTTGTTTAAATTACGCAAGAACTTTCGTGCCAACCTAATATAAAGCTGAATGTCTGTTTGTCTGTATGTCTGTCTGTCTGTCTGTATGTATGTATGTACGTATGTTCCGAATAGAAAACTCCATTTCTGAACCGATCCGGACCAAACTTGGCACACATACACTTCGGGCCCCGGCGGGTGTCATAGGCTACTTTTCGTCATCTATCGATATCGATTTTATCGATTTTTATCGATTTTTTTGCTGAGTTCACCTACGAGGCGGGAGTTGGCACAGGGGGGTCGAGCATGGGGATTCCGAATACAATATTGGTTTTCGGGATTATCGATTACTTTTATCGATTTTACCGATTTTTTTGCAAAGTTTGAGCTAGGGGGCTGGGAGTTGGCACAGGGGGGTAATCGAGCATGCTGATCATCCCCAAGGAGGTGATCAGCATGCTCGATTACACCCCTGTGCCAAATTCCAGCCCCCTAGCTCAAATTTTCAAAAAATCGATAAAATCGATAAAAGTAATGGACGATCTTGAAAACTAATATTGTATTCGTAATCTGCATGCTCGATTACCCCCCTGTGCAAACTCCCAGCCCCGCAGGTCAAACTTTACAAAAAAAATCGATAAAATCGATAAAAGTAATGGACGATCCTGAAAACTAATATGGTGTTCGTAATCAGCATGCTCGATTACCCCCCTGTGCAAAATCCCAGCCTCGCATGTCAAAATTTACAAAAAATCGATAAAATCAATAAAAGTAATCGATAATTCTGAAAACTAATATTGTATTCGGAATCCCCATGCTCACTTCCCCCCCTGTGCCAACTCCTAGCCCTGTAGGTGAACTCTGCAAAAAAATCGATAAAAATCGGTAAAATCGACATCGATCGATAACGAAAAGTGGACTGTGACACCCGCCGGGGCCCGAAGTGTATGTGTGCCAAGTTTGGTCCGGATACGGCGGAGCCGGGTAAGCCAGCTAGTATAAAATATGCAAGCCACGCACCGCGTGGAAGCTCCACCCACTCTGCCAGAATGTCGGAAATTACCCAAATTTTGAGAATTCATGCGAATTCCGCCACTTTTGGAAAATGGGCGGAGCTTGCTACTTAGGGGCGGAGTTTGCCTGACGGTAGCCAGGCTTGGCTAGAAGTTGCTTGAGCTCTTTGCGTTCATCTACAGTCTCATTCATGCTTTTATGAACAAAAAGGTCCTTGTGAGGTGCATGGGAGTGGGTGGAGTTTGCCAAAAGGGGCAGGGCTAATACATGAAGTACATCTGAGACTACGTTGATTATGTGAACAAAACTGAGAGGATTGGACAGATAGTATTGAAATTAACAGACTGCCTTCCGCGCAACATTGCGCGGCGCTGTCGTCAACGTGTTAAAGGCAGCGACAGGCAAATCTGGGCCTATGAGGATTTTGCATGGAAAGTAATTTTGGGGCCCTTACTAAGGCACGGCTCATGTGGCAGCGCAAATGACTTACCAACGGCTGAGATACACGACTCCAAACTGGACCCCAGGATCGAATTATCGGACGGCTTGCATCGTGTTTGCATGCTTTCGCGCGAGGACCCACGCGAAACTCATGTGTCGCGCCATGAATTCATGCGAAATACTATCCTGGGGACCAGTTTGAGGGCGAATATCTCAGCCGTTAGGGCACCATCTGAGCTGCCGGTTGGGCTTTGTCTTAGTTAGGGTCCAAAATTAGCTGTCCACGTGAGATCGCCACAGGTCCAGATTTGCGTGGACGCTGCCTTTAACACATTCCCGACCATACGACCCGCCAGTGGGTCGTACGTGTTCTGCGATTCCGGACAATACGACTCACCGGTGGGTCGTAAGTATCCTGAAACTCTGGCTTTGCCAGTTTACGATGGAATTCTACGAGATTCTGGCACATGACTGGGGACACCTAGTTGGAGCTCTAGCCAGAGTGGTCCTCAAGATACTATGTAATGCTACTCTAGGTATACCGCAGATAGATATAAGGCACAGACTTCAGCTCAAATTTTTTGAATGGTGCTGTTTCCGGAAAATCAAGTGCACATGCACGAGTAATACGGGGATGGAGACTGACGATAGTCCACCAAAATTATCCCTTTTATTGATTTTTTGCATTGTTCACCCCAGGAAGCTCGAATCTCACATATATAGGTTCTGAGCATGCTGAATACGAAAATGATAGTCTCAAGTTTTGATACCACCTTCTTACACCGGTTTCTTTATTTTTACGAGAATTCTGCCGTACTGCTACCGTAGCTACACTGTGAGACAAAAGTGAATATAATGGACACTATAATCGTAAAGCATGTGAAATAATCCCAAAACACAATCTTTCATAGAGATCCATGACGTTGTTTTCGTAGAAAATGACTGCCGTAACCTTACCGTATAACGTCAAAACTAAAATAAATCATTTTTGATAATCAGCGCCTTAGACTACCCCTCTGAGAAAATTCTCGGAGACATGTTCTGAACTTTTTCCAAAAAGATTATCGTCTCGGACATTACGACTCACGGGTGGGACGCAGGTTTGACAAAGCGAAAAAGGCTCTGGTCCGAAACGGCAGTAATCGAAGAATGGCCTTGTCGTAAAACCACAATATTCAAACGACGCCTCTTCCTACATACAGCGCGAATATTTTTTTCTTCAAATCTTCACGACGCCAGCTGATGGCAAAAATATTCCATCTGCTAGTATAGCAAAAATTAGGAATTCGCGCACGCCTGATTCACTGAGACGGGAGGTGAAAGTTTAGAAGGCAGTGAGAAAAGCGCCGGATCCCTGCACGAACAGCTTGATTACGGCCCCTGCCTTTGTTGGGGAGGGCCATATAGGGCACCTCTATGTCTTTGGATGGATAGCTGCATTTTGGTCCGACTGATGGCAGTTTCGTGCCCAAATCCCAAAATCTGGACTAATTGTAGAGCAGTGTATGTAACTTACCTGTCTGCCGCTCTTAGAGAACGTAGAGAATCAATGCGGCAGAAAACCTCGTAATTCCAAAGAGGAGCATTTCCTATTCAATTAATAGTTTGGAAGATACATCAGTAAGCCTCAAACATGCTAAGAGGAGTTGCGATTAGCAAAAAATCTTGGTAGAAATCAGAGGCTAACTCGGTAGAATTTCTTCTAGTAAGAACGCGCTAAACCAATTACAGGTCGCAAAACGAAAAGAGACTCTAGGTTGGGGGGTTAAAAGCATGGCCGATAGCGAAGTGAGCCAAAGTAGATAGCTGTATGCCTCGAATACGTTCCTGTACATCACTCTCAACCTTGTTTGGGAACTTACTGTGTAAAGGCAACATGCAGCAAGCGAGCGGGCGCATATTAAAAACGCTTGCTGGCGTAAACTTTGCATATCGCAAACATCTGAAAACCTATCGTCTTTTCTTGTTTTTTCCGTCCCCAGGATTGTTGTTTGGGCGGGACGCGAAAGCCCCTCCCTCGTAGAGCGATTGGCTGCTGGAGTCTATAATCAATTGCCGATGTGATGGATACGGTACCTCCACCCAATGCGCTCCACGAGCACACTCAGCGAAATCTCGAGATGCTGAGATGGGATTGCTTCCTGGAATTTATATATTCGTTTCAGAAAGGTATTCTAGTTTAAACCAATAACAACGTAACTTTTTGCACTTTCGTGAATGTTCTAGCATTTCCTCATGTACCCAAGGCTTGAACGCTTGTATATCTCGCTTCAATTTATGATTTACCGTTCTAAATCACTCATGGATCACCACTTGATAAGGCAGGAATGTGCTTCCAGTTTTTTTTTCGCTGCTAAATCGGGCCTCATCTCAAGTTTCGACCTCTCTAGGTGCTTTAGCTTGTCAACCAAACAGGGTGCTACATTTGTCCCTTGTCTGCAGTTTGTGCTCCTCATTTTCACCGGCAGCAAAAAAACACTAGTTAGGTTTGGGACGCAGGTCGCTGCAGAGGCATGCCCATGATCAAGCGATAGCCATCTCATCGCGAAAGTGTTTTCGTCGACGAGGTATGCCCGGTCCTTTTTTGGACGACAGCTTTCATCCGATAGTAGACTTACACACCGACTTACATAAGCAACCCAACGTCTTCTAAGGGAAAGGATATAAGCCATTGCACACGCAGCTGTAATAGCTGATGCCAGTGAAGACACATGTGGCCACGAATACAGCTCGAGCGTGGTGTAGTTTTCGAAATAAGCATGACTGCAAGAACATGTTATAAAAGCCAAATCGACTCATGCTTTAATTTCTGACCTAAAATGCAATTCTGGCAGACTGTGGATAAAGGAGCCTTGCCCATCTGTGTAGACTTTGTTCCAATATTTGATTTCGTTGTGAACGCATGTATCTCCAACGCCACTAAATTAGCAAGAGTTGAACAAGGAATTGCAAGTTTCACCTGATCTAAATGTCATCTTTTTTGTAACATTTGAGACTAGTATATCACCTCTGTTCGCACTGGTCGTTATCGAAATTGTGAAGTGAGTATGAATGGTAGTGATACTGTACCTCCCATGTTCTCTCAAGTGCGCAAATTAATTCCCTACAATAGTGGACCTTTTCTGTTATGAGACTCTCGTAAGCTTCCCAGTAATCAATCCCTGTTGATTTTCATAACTCTGGTCGTCAATGAAGTGCAATTTAGCATTATCGTTATTCCAAATAGCAGCGCTAGCATTATCATTACCCCATTATCGTTCGCCGCTCAACGTGGCGTAGTGGTGGCCCTGGGTGTCGAGGCATGTACAGCACAGTATTCTTCGACAGGGTCTTAAAAGCTGGAAGTTCGATGCTTGCAGTTTCAACCGGGTGAGTGACTAAAAGCGAACCAGAGGCCAGATCCCCCACTTTCTGGCTGGTAAGTGTGGCTGTTCCCACTCTAACATGTACCGGCGGATAACCCTGTGTGAGGCAAGAGTACGCTTGATAAGTCTACTCTTGTCGAGGAAAATTTTTACCGTGCAAGGAAAAAAGAATAGAACGTGCACATTGGATCTCACTTAGGGCGCCGGACAAGAAGGATGTTCATGTTGCTCAGGGCGCCATCTGGTTAGCAAAGAAAAAGACAAGTCTGAGACAATACGCCATGGAGATTTGCCTCGTGCTTTGCACCTACACCGCCAGAACGGTCTCAAAGCTCGACCTCCACGCTTTCATCGATGCTGCACAGCACATCAATAAACCAGTCATGGCTCTGCAAAAAACGAAAATCAAAAAGGATGTGCGACAGCTCAGTTGTGAGAGCCTCATCATTCACCTCAGACAGTGCAAAATAGTTCCGGGGAAATGTGAAGTTCTCAGACTTCCGGGGGGACACTCCTATTGGAGCTGCCAGGTAGGACGCGGCCAGGTAGGGTGGAGCCCACCCACACGGCCCAATAGGAGCGTCGCCCGGAAGTTTTAGAACTTCAGTTTTCCCCGGAAGTATTCCCGTCAGAAGACCATCAACATTATCAAGCTACTCGTTAATATCAGCAGCTGACAAATCAGAACTAGATGCTTTCTACAAATGTGGAGGAGGCCGTCTGCAAGGAGGTCTTTTTTCAAGTCTGTTGTGGCCAACTTCAATGTTACAATCGGGAATGCTACTAGAAGAGGAACATAGTATTGGGAAGTTTGGACGTCGGCTGCGGAACGAATATGGTAATAGTCCGGTTGGGCTTCTCTCCGCCGCGTCTTTCCCATAGAAATTCCATTTTCATAAGGAACGAACAACGCCGGTGGATTAGGGAGTCGCCCAAACGATTACACTGAGATCGATCACACTCAACAATCGAAGATTAGTTCCAACTTCTGTAGTAGCTGCGATTAATGCTTCCTTCGAGCCAAAGTATTAGGTTGTCCGGAAAATATGTCGCATGGCATCATATCGCGAGATGGCCACAAAAAACAGCGAATGAGATATCATTTGATAGAGCAAAGCAAACTCTTCAATATAGTTTACAAACCTCCGAGGAAGTCTTGCTCCATCTGGTGTTCGAATCCAAAATATAAAGAATTCCAGATATTTAAAAAATCGTATCTCCGTTCAGAGACGTCTTAGGGACCTCCAATTTGCACAGGCATGTACTCTTCACACTAGACATTCACCTTTATGGTTTGTTGTATTTTTCCATGGCTACAGTACGACAAACAAACATGGGTCGAAAGCGCGAATATGTCGCGTTTTTTGGGTTTTTTGCGAACAAGTTGATTTTTCTCGAAAACTATCGCTTGTCTAATGCTGAAAATTCATGGTTATACTCCTAAAAGTCCATACAACAGAATCACCCATGTGAGAAAAGCTCAGGATTGCTTTGGCAAAATGCCGACTTTCGTTTTCTCAATTTTTGACCATGGAAAAATCGCGAAAGTGTGCATACGAGTGTCTCGTATAGTGGGTCATACGTGAGCAAGTTAGGATTTCCCAGGACTTTTCTAGACGGAAATATGATTTTTTTTGTTTTTCAAATTTTTAGTGCCTTATGAAATTTGGCTCCAAACTTCGCGCAAATCAAAGTTGGCGCAAAGGTTCGAGCTTCATTTTGAGAGCTTGCTCTGTTCTTTCGGTCGATACTTTCGTGCGCACCCTGCCGCGATATTGCATGATAAAACACGATGCGACATTATTTTCCGGACAACCTAATACGATTCAGTCGAAAGCTGGAAAAGAAGATCTATCATAATGCGCAAAGTTGGCCAAGAACAAATCGTGCACGACGTCACACGCTGAAGGAGCTCGTATTAAGTTGTAATTGGCGCATCGAGGAGGACTTAAACATCTGATTACGATTGGATTCTGAAATGATTATGAGCCTGCAGCTCAGTGACCTCTGGGCAACTAGGGACGTATTCAAAGACCACCAAGGAGGTACTTGGAAGAGGAAGACTTTCAAAGTAAAATCCGAATGCACACATCTTAGACAAGTGTTAGAAAACGCTAGTTGCAGAGCATTTTTGCAGGACGATCTTCGGAAGTGAAGACGCGAGTCCATAATGGAAGCAGCTGAAGGAGGATAAAGTAATTCTCGAAGAAATCTCTGTGGAAATTGCTTACCTTTGGTAGCACTATTGAGCAAAGACGGGATCCGGCTTCTTTCCGACATAACTCGGAATCTTACGCGAAGAAGTTCTACATTAACCTCTTCCGCTCATCTACCCACAGTCTGCCTTCTGAAGTGCGCAGCGCAATCGAAACCATAAAGAGGACCACTGCTCCAACGATGAGATGATGTTTCCGTCGAACTTCTGCGAGCCGAACAACAACATCTAGACAACTTCGCGCGTCACATCGAACATCTTAGCTTTGGATGGAAAAGAGTCCCGACCAGTAAAGAACTTCAAACTGTTCTTTTTTAAAAGGGCGAACGGGAAGATTTCCGGAACTACCGTCCATAAGCCTGCTAAGTGTGCAGTACTAGCTTTTTACGAGGATCATCCTCACTAGCATATCCAGGACATTAGATGAGGCTTAACTCAAAGAACGAGTCGAATTTTGCAAAGGTTTCATCTGCATAAACCACATGAAGACGGTTTCAAGGGTCTTAGCAGTACCGCCTGCATCTCGTCCTAACCTTCGTCGAGTACGAAAAGCCTTTGTCGACGTCAAAAGCAAAGCCATTCTGTCAGCGCTAGTCGATCAAGGACGGACCCAGTTTACTGAGGGCATTAGCCGATTTGTACGACTTTACAAAAACGTTGCAGCTAGTCATACATCAATGACCTTTTTGACCGGGAAAGAGGTCTCACTGGGCGCACAATCACGCCGAAGCTTTTCACCGCTGCCCCGCAGTGGTGATGAAGTCATTGGGCCACAGAAGCAACAGGTTTGGTGGGAGTTCCCCATCAAACCAAAGTTTTGCGAATGACATTCTCTCTTCGAGCAGTATCTAAAGGAAAGGTATCTGAAGGAGTACTATCTGAAACAGAGGACGCTGAAGGAACAAACGAAGTAGGAGATCGGAGTGCGAAGAAATCGGAAGAAGGCTTAGCTTATAAGGAACGCTCTTTGCGAAGGTGCGGTGAAACTGGAAAGCACCCCCATGGCAGGGACATCTTCTTACGTGTATCCCGGCTTTCGATGTACATGGAAAATGACTTCAGAGAAGAACTCAACAAGAGAGGAAGAGCAGCGTGAGCCGTCTTCGGGCCCCTGAAGGAAGCCACGGACCAGCTGACGGGCCCGAAGCCTCATATCAACTGTTCGATTCGATCGTTCTCCCGCGCTCTGTTAGCAGCTGAGACTTGAGCCGACACTGTAGTCACGTCAACAGCTTTACGGACCACCCAAACAGCGCTTGAGAGCAATCTGCTAAAGGTAATCCGACACAAGCAACACGTCGTTGGATGTCGCAGTATGGATAAGAGGAATCTTCCGCGTTCGTGACGCAGCGGAATACGTCGCGAAAGCGAACCATCTATAGGACATTATGAGAAGGATAGACGACAGATGGACATTAAAAACACCAGAGCGGATTTCTCACGAAGCAAAACGTTCCCGAGAAGACCTATACGAACTTCGCAATTCGTATCATTCTTCTCTGCCCCAAAATGCGCTGGTCATTTGCATCTGTGTGGTTGAATACTCTGAAAGTTGTATAGCAAAGATGGATTTAGTAGCTCGCACTGATTTTGCTATTGTAGAAATGTGCAGATGTTAGCATCAGATGTGATTTCTACCATTTCTTTGGTGTATCTGTAAATTCATGCACAGCTGTGCCTAGGCGATTAGGTTTTCATGCATACAAATAGCTGGCAGTGCACAGTCAGAGTCAGTCGCTTGTACAGCCTTCACTTATGTCTACATTAGTCTTGTCATTTCCTTTTGCCCTTTCTCAATTCATTATATTTTGTAGTTTAGATCTCATTCATTCATTTCACTTTGTTATCTATTTGATCGTGTTTATTGTTGCTATTTTTGTTGCCAGATAAAGTTCAATTACCCAAGTTTGAGTGCTCGGGCGTGTACGTCCCGCTATCCTTGGTTGTGGTTTGGTATTCGAAGCGTTATATTCCTGACTATATCCCAGCTACTAACTAATACAAGACCACGAACGTGTCTGTGCGCTGAGCCAGCTAAGAAATCATGATACATACAATCCTCGCACCTGAAACTCGTGAACGCAGCCAGCGACTGCATGTAGGAACGCGAATGTTTGAAGCGAGGAACACGGATGAATGGGAACTTCTGTGATAGGGACCGCACTCCACTTGAAGATGGTTACGTATCGTCGAGTCATCCGTAACTTAGTATGTGAGTCTGCACACAAGGCGCAGTGACGGACGGCAGCTTACAAGTAACTTCTCAGTAAAACCTTTCCTAGCATAACAGACTGTAAAATCATATGTGACTACGTAATACATACCCAACCGAACTCAAAGAGTCAAGAAAACAAGATAAAATTATTGAAAACGAGCCGGTTCTGTCAAGTAGCGCTTACGATGTGCAACACACATATTAAGTTCCGAATGACTCGAAGATATATGCATAGTTAAGTATTATCTAGCAGGAGGATTTTTCGCAGTTATTTGCGACCCACTCAATTTGGAGAAAATGCTGCTGGTCATGATCCCAATAGGAAACTGCATGTAGATTCTCAGAACTATAAAACGGAGATCTCAAAATTCTTAAATTAGAGGAGCAGCTCTCTCCAATCTTCGGTATGCTTAACAGAAATCTAAAAATTTCGCATTTTCCCACTAATCAATATATGCTGTTGTGCTTGTGTGTTCATAATGTCTGCAGGATATTTCGGCGCATTAGTCTCAAATTTCAAATATTGTTTGGTTACTTCTGTGCCAAACAGGTTTGTTAAGCAATGTTTACTAGGGCCTTACGTTTCGACGTTTAGGGCCAGGCATAATCACGCGATTTCAGTCGCGACGCGATTGGACAATATTCCAATCGTCCATAATTCACTGTGAGGGGTTTCTGAATGTACGGAAGATAGGGCATTTTATCAATTCACATAAGTTATACACACTATGCATGTGCAGTTTGCTAGTGTTGAATCTGTAGACTTCTGGCGAATTGCCAAATCGCGTCACGACTGAAATCGCGTGAAGTATGTCCGGCCTATTTGTCATCCTCAGAGGCCAGGAGAGCATCGTCCGAGTACCTGCTATCGTTGATTCGTTGACCGCACGGATTGCTAAACGCTGCGGACCATGCGCGGCGCGGCTAAAATGTTGCGAGAGCAGATTTGTAGCGAACTTGTACCTGGGCAAGCGTTTTACCACGCTGTGCGTGCTTCGTAACGATGTCCAGTTTGTGCGGTCAACGAATGAACTATACAACCGCTAACTTCCGCTGCAGACTACGCGGAAAGCAATGCTCTTCCAGCCTCTGAGGAAGACGAAGGCGTCGAAACGTAAGGTCGTAATAAACATTGCTTAATTAACAATCTGTTCGGCATAGAGGTAACCAAACATACAACGAATGTTCAAATTTCTTGAAAAGAGCTTGGAAATTGCTCAAATGCTGTATCTTTTGGCTAGAGTAGCCTCGTATGCTGTGAGTTGTCTCAAGGCTGTTATCCTAGGAGAAAATCACTCACATGTACGAGTGTCTTGTCGTGTCAAAATCCTCAGAGTATGAGTAGCCTTCTAGATGACCAGCCTCGCCTAGTTCCTCACACCTCCTTTTAATCTTCTGGCAATCTGAACAACTCTTGAAATCTGCTTGCAAAAAAAATGGCAGTTAAGCTTATGACCCTACTTGCTCTACACCACCTCCCCACACAATTGTCGTAGGCCAGTTCAGTTGTGAACAAGTCAAAAGAGGCGTAGAAGAGGGTCAGCACAACTTCTTGAAAGTAAGACCCAATTATCACACTCATCAAAACTGCCCATAAAGCAGAAACTCCAATTCCTGTAAAGCTGTTTTTTTCGATACCAATTTTCCAAAACCACTCACCAAAACCAATAGGCGCGATACGATCAAAAATTGAGAGAACAGAAGAATGAGTGTACTGGCCCAAAGCAAGTTCAAGGTACAGTAAGGGAAACGCAACTCCATACATGCATAGAAGGAATGTTACCAGCCAGTCTACTAAAACAATGGTAACTATGAGCCTAGTTGAGGAAGAGTGGGTTGAAGACGAACGAAGGTTGTTCCCCGACAAAGGCGGTCGATTTACGTCGCGAAGCGGGTGCAGAGGCGGCGTTCGAGACGCCTCACTCAAACGGTAGCAGCCTTCGTCCGAAACTAGTCTTCAATATTGACATAAACTTATTAACCTCCCAGTCTAAGTACGACATAGTTAAACATTGCTATGGTATCTAGAGAAGTCGCATAGGAAATCACCACGCAATAGTAGGCAAGTTTGCTCCATCCAAAAGCGTGGCCAAGACCTGCACGTGATAGTTTACCGATTGTTACCTAAACTTGAGGCATTTTTGATTCTCAGGCACCATAGGTGTACGCAGCCCTGACTTTATCAGCGTAATCGCGATCCTCAGCCGTCTCAAACACTTCAATTTCTTCAGAGATATCCGAGTCTTCAGATAGAGAATCCACTCCATGCACGGCCACTTCAGTCTCGTCGAAAGTCAGATGCTTTTTTGCTTCTGTAAGATGCTAGTTACTGGAGAAGAAACAGGATCCAAAGAGGAGCAGATGCGTGTAAGACTTCTTCACGTACCAGTATGTCTTGAGTACTTACATGAGCATTTTGAGGTAGTTTGACATCTTCAACGGAATCATTGGGAAAGTGTTTTAGCGCCGGAGGAGTTTGAGTGTGATCCCCCCCCCCCAACCCCGCCCCAAAAAAAGCCCTACACGAATGCGTTGAGCAAATAATTTGTGATTGTATGTAATTTGTGAGCAATGTGACATTTTCTACATTTCTATTCTTAAAGTAGATCCAAACTGCATTTTCATTGTATCATATCTTATAGATTGGATTTCTTGACCTTTTCGGATGTTTCAATCCAATGCTGAGCTTTACATTCTCAAAATGTCGCAAGTTGATCAAGTACCACTTTTCTGACTTTGTACTATGACTGGGCGTGGCGCGAACAGTCAGACAAGTAGAGTGCTTGTTGTAGTACCTGTCCTTCTTCGGGTCTTTTTGGAGCGACAAAGTTAGTTTAGAAGTTTTAAAGGTGAGTTTAGCACCCAGGGGGTCTAACAATGAAAGAAAGCATTGCCAAAGTGACGTCAAATGAAATGCATAGTTCATAAATGAACACCATTACAAATCCTTTATGATTTGTGTGACGCATAAGAAAGCCAGTTGGCAGTTGCCTTTCGAAATTTCTTTTAGTCTCCAAGGATTTGGAAGAGAGTGGTTCTCATGATTCAAAAAAGTGTCAATAAATTTGATGGCAAAGCTAATTTTTTTCCTCTAATCCGTTACTACTCTAGAGTTCGCATCAGAGCTAGCGCAGTGATTTTTGTGCAATTTGATCTGTTGGACATCGCCATCAAGTCAACTACTGCATCCTATGGGGGGGGGGGGGCTACTTATAGTACGTCCCTTTCAGCGATCGGTGGAGGAGAGCACAGAGAAGATATAATTTTTTGTTTACTGCTTCTCATGCTTTGCTTATGGGGTGTGCTGCAGTCAAGAGGTTAGTGGGAATGAGATGGAGGATTTTTGCTCAAGATGCCAGAGAATTTGCCTTTTCCCCTTTTTGACTTGGGTTTCGATAAATGCGAACAAGCTAAATCAACTTGATTACTCACCTTTTTCCCGGTCCTTTTCGTGCTCTTTTGATTGAGGTGTTTCTAAAAAATTATTTATGAGCAAACATTCTACGAAGATCTCAGGCTCTTCTACCTACTGGCGTTTCTGCTTTCTTTTCCGTGTCCTTGGGAGTTTCTTTTCTTTTCCGTAACTCAGTCCCTATACAAGTCAACTGGTAGAAAAAGTTGCAAATTCTTGTGCTAACCTTTTTCTAGACTGGCCATTTGGGCTGCCTCACGACTTCTCACTGAATCATCTTTGTCAAACTTGTTTTAACTCAAAAGTTCTTCACAATTACTACCTATAGCATCCTCTCCACTTTTCGATTTCGATTTTCGCAGGTGTTCCTTAGCTTCTGAAAAGGCAAGTAATGATTCCGCAGCAGAAAAAATCAACTCACCTTTAACTTTAGCCTTACCTTCTCCTTCTTCGCTTCCTATCCCTCTCACCTTGGGTATTGTTGGTGTTCCTTCTAAAGGAGATACATAAACGAATCTAAAGCTCTGCTTGCGCACCTTCATTCCCTTTTCCTTCGCCATTAACTGTTTCTTTCGCTGTGGCCTTCCCTGCTAGAATTCATGTGCGTTTTTTTTATTCGTAAATGATGGGAAATTGCTTACGTTCTCCCAGAAACATTATGGCTGTTTTGTCGCTTTTGAGTTTTTCAGCCGATTTACTCGATGTATCAAGAATCTTCTTCATTTCAAGGTTGTCTGTAATTTGTATTCAAGAGAATGCCGCACTATTATATACAGTATGTGATTCTGCAGCACAACCTCGCCTGACAGCAGTGGAGGATAAAGAACCCCCCCCCCCCCCCACCGATTCCGGCTCGCGAAGTTTTCAAAAGTAGTCTACATAAGCCATAAATTCGCAAGGATTTCGCAAGAGGTGTTGGAAAGCCAAGACCTTCATCCCTTTATCCTTGGATTACCTACTTGAGTACTCAGACGGCTCTTCTTTACGTAATGTGCGGTTCTCAGCACAGGAGTTTTCATGCGTTCCTGTTTCTCGCTCTAAACATTCATGATTTTCTTACAATCTGACGTAGATGGCAGCCATGAGTTGCAAAAGTTGTGACCAGCTGTGTTGGCTGGTTCATTCATTCCACGAACAGCTCTGCCCATCTCGTTGGTAGTCTTCCTCGGGGACGTTTTGCTTCGCGAGGAATCCTTCTGATATTCTTAGGCCCGTATGCACTAACATCTCTGCGGCGAAGGGAGCGGCTCCACCCTCTCCCCTCCTCGCATGTGAATGCCGCTGGGCATTTTCATCGTTGAAGACTCCGCTCCCCTCGATGCAAGGACGTTGCTTACGGTTTCAGTGTCCATCTGTCGAACAATCAATGTTTTGCTTTCGCGAGTATTCCGCTAAATTATCATCGCCAAGCATACCTTCATATGCTTGAGATATCTTGCTGACCTCTGAAAACCTTTTTTGATTGGTTTTCGCCAGCTAGCTTCCGCCCGTAGGCTCGTTGGCACCCAAAAATTATAGTGGAAGTTTTCATAGGCAGCAAGATTGGAATTCACGTTTTAGCACGATTTGACTGCAAGCCTATTTGCTAGCAGCACCCTGGCTTATCTAAGGCAGAAATTATTGCCTATATGTTCCCATACTGCGTTTAATCACTTCCCTTGGACTGCTCCTTGTCCCCTCTGAATTGGTATGAGTTGCTTGTTATCGTTAGTGTTTGCTTTTGTTTGTTTGTTTTTTTTTCATATTGGCACACCTTGAGTGTAAAACATCATGACTTATAATAACGGGCTAAGGGTTGCGTCTTTTTGTGTGTGTGTCTGTCCGTTACGAAATTCGTAGCGCGTGTTCCAGCCAACGTCCTGAGCCCAAATTTTGCGTAGTGCACGCTACCAGCATGAAAGCTCACTATACAAAAGCATGAGCGGATCCGTTGAAAATTGCGCGTCAAACGGATCCACTTGGCTTCTGTCCAGCAAATTTGGGTCCGTAGTACTACTTTTTGCAAAGTTATGGATATATTTGACAAATTAATGTGCAAGCCATGGACTTTAGTCTAAAAAAGTGATGAAAAGTCTACTACTTTACGAAAACGGCGCCAAAAAGCATTGGATGTGTAAACGGTCAATTTTTCGAGATTTTACCTGATCATTTGAAAAGATTTTTGCACAAAGATGTAGCCCACCATGTTTATTGTCCTTATGGCGACTATGAAACCATGAAAATTTCAAAAACTTATTCAAATTTGCATTTTTTTTTCTTTTGGTAAAGATTTCATCCACGCGAAAATACCGATTTCACTCGAAAAACCTCTAGGAATGAGTAGCTGTTTACGAATCATTCGTAATAGCCTACAGAGCGCGGTGAGTTTCAATCTAATTATTATGCGGAAATGAGTAAGGCATAGATAAAGTAGGGCCAGTGCGAGCCTCTGCGAAGCAGAGGTGACGCACTGGTAAATAAATAAATAAATAAATAAATCACGAAGATGGGACCTTCTTCTCATATCCGTACTGCGAATCCACAAGATGTTGTTTTTGTTAGGTCATGTTCAGAATACTGCGCTCAAGCGCTCTGTGGATGTGGTAGAGCTTTCGAAGTGGCTACAGTGTCGGCCCAAGTCTCAGCTGCGTAATAGAGCGCTGAAAGAACGGCTGTGGCTCCTTTCAGAGGCCAAATAGGCCCTCTTCTACTGCTTAGCTCTTTTCTCAAATCGTTCTCCATGTTCAAGGACGCGGTGAACAGTTTTGGCGAGATTGTGTTGCCTGTCGAACCCCCTTACCAATCGGAATGAACAAGGGGTAATGGAACAGCTGCGTCGTTGTCGTACACATTATATCAGGTGGCTAATCTTCAAACGTAGACTGCGTCCACTCCTGGATCGATTAGCACTGACGGGATGGCGTTGGTCTCGAGCGTCGAAGTCTTCCTCGTAGTCGACGAAGGTTAGATCGAGAGGCAGCCGGTAGTTCCGGCAGACTTCCATGACCTCGAAGCCATCTTAACGTGGTCCATCAATCAAATTTATTGCGAACAACTTGTTCTTGGAAATATGCTTCATCCAGTGTGCTAAATATGGTACAGCAAACTCAGCAGACATATTGGACGGTAGTTGTTCCGAAGATCCTCCCGTTTGACCTCTTCAAGACAAGGACGGATTTCTCCGCTACTCGGAAATCCTTTCCTTCTGTGATTACGACGGATGCGATACGAGAATATTGTGTAGGCGCTTTTCTTCGGCGCGCAGAAGTTTGACGGAAAGATGAATCAGTTCTGGAGCCGTGGACGCTTTCATGGTTCAGATCGCACTCCGCACTTCAGAAGAGTACATCCTAGTTGTATTTCTCCAGTGGGAAACGAAAAAAGGACATTCAGTCACCGACGG